AATACCTAGACAGGGAAGAATCAATCTTCCTTTATTTACTTTTCAGAATGTTCGCGAGGCCAGTACGTTACAGTTGCGGCACTATTATAAGGTACAACATCACATGGCAGTTATGGTCTTCGATGTTTGCGAAGGCCTTTTGCGAAGGCCTTACTTTGCTGTTCAACTGTTATTTTGTGCACTTTCTCGGTAATAGAGCAGTTTTCAATCGTGTCGATAGTTATCAGGGATGTGTTGGTTTAGCTTTACTACGCTCTGTGATTGGTCCAGAAAACTTGCGCCACTCTCTCAAACAATTAGATGCAAAACTAAAACCAGTCACGACTTGGTCACTCGCGTTTTCTCGCGTTTTTCCCGCGCTTTAGGCTGTTTGCTAATTTTTACTTTGAGTTCTTATTGGCTCTTCAAGGTATTTTCCATTCTTCTGATTACCTCATTGAGATAACTTTGGTTTTGGATTTACGATACTCCATCGCCGAGAAACATTATTTTCCCACGCTTAACACTTCTGATTTATCTTATAGGAAGATGAAATTTTCTTGGACATGTTTGAGGACGAGTACCGGCAAACAAAGGTGTGGCTTCGAAGTTGATAGTTAACTTGTAATTTTGTTATCTGAAAATTACAGTATTATTTTGGCCAGAGGACTGGGTAATGGTAAGAATTGCAAAGGTGGGAATAATTCGATACAATCCCGGGTAATTCAGTGGAAGTTTTCGTCCTCTGAGGCTACATTCTCATTTTGGTTTCGTTGCCTCTTTTTAGAGAAGCGCTTTACCAAGTGGAGAGATTTGAAACTCACATTCACAAATCCCTCTGCTTTTTACGCAGATTTTCTCTAAATTCATCCCTGAAAATGTTGGGATAGTGAGTAAGCTTGGGACCGTCTATAAAGCTGTAGTCTCTAGTTGTTTATAGCAAGTCTACTCGACATGACGTACAATCGTGGGAGCCATGAATAAGTTCAATTACTTTCCTCAACTAGGTAAAGCCTCCCAACGTGCAACACTTGATGATGGATGCTACGCTACTCCTTCCTATTACGGGAACACCGCTGACCGGAATTGAGTTTTACAAGCGCCTGCCGTGTGGAGAAGTGGAACACACTCGGAGGGTGAGTTCTTTTTATCTTGAACTGTTTTCGGTGACGTTTGTGCCTCCTGCCTCATGTGAACTGTTGACCCTCAGTTTGACCCCTAAGAGTGACTAGCATCTAGATTCTCCTTACAATATCCCCCCAGAAACAGACGTAAAGGTCACGAGAGTAAAGGAAATGATCACCAACTAAAGATGTTCCAGATTGTTACACAAATTCTCCTTGTCAGCCTTATAAGAAATGTAAAGAGAAAAGTATTGAGAATATGCATACTGATGTTAGGGTGTAAAGGGTGAAAACTGTGGGGAGTGAGGAGGGGTTTGTCACCGAATTCATGGGGAAAACTTTTCGTGACAATGGTAAGGAGTGGTTTGTGTCATTGAAATTCAATAGAAGTTATTATTGTGTTTTGTTCTTACGCGAAGCATTAATTTACTCAAAGAAGTCATATCCTCATAAGCCTGATATTTTTCAAGTTTGAAAGCAGCTTCAATATTTTTACAGGCAATTCGAGTGTTTCTGCTCATGAGAGACCTTTGCTTAGCATTGCTGGGGAAGAAAGAAGAGCAACTACCTCTATCAAAAGTTGAAAACTCTGTCCATTTGGAAGACGTCCTGGATTTAAGTGAGTCACACTGAAGTAGGGTTATATGATTGTCACTTTGTTATGCGCCGATCAAAACTGTAAAAAAGTTGTGGGAAGCATCTAAATGTTCTTCTTTTCGATCTTTAGATAACAGTGACCTGATCGCTTGTACAGTGAAGACAGAAGACAAGTAAGTTACCTGCTTAAGCTTTAGAACAAGGAGAATGCCCTAAATCGAGATTTCGCGCAAGACATGGTGGCCTAATGATCTGTGCGCGCGTGTACTTGACTCTGGATCAAAGGATCGTGGCCACTTCTTTGTATTCTATTGTTGGAAAAACACGAGACACTCGCGTTACTTCTTTACCCCAAAAGCCCGATCATAGTAATATGATTTTTGTTTCAATGTTTTGCAGGCAGCAGCAGCGCCGTTTCCTTGTGATAGACGAGGCTCAGTTTATACTGGTTGAACCAGACACCACCAAGTTAGGGTGGGGTGTGGTCAAGTTTGTCGCCAGACTTCAGGTAGGGGAGTTGGTTTGTTTTGTATCCTTTCGCTATCTTTTATCAATGACTGTCTTAGTGCGCATCTCCAATTTAGGGACTGCTGGGTGGTTTTGAGCTTCATTGATTTGTATTGAGAAATATATCCCTCTTGCACCTTTCCTTTACGATATTCTGGATACTCTGTGGGCAGATTTGGGAGCGAATGAAAGTGTAAATAAAATCCAGCAGTTCAAAACCCCAGTAGCCCTTAGAGGTTGTGTTGCTTTGCGACTGTCCCCTGCACGGCAAGGCACCCATAAAGCAGAACAACGAGCTTTCTTTCTTTTATGCTTTCGTCATAGTAACACGGTTTTTATTTTGGGTTTTAGGATGTAGAGACAGCTCCCGATAAGGAAGACAGTCGCTCTTTATTCATCACCATACACCAGCCCAGCTCTGCCCGCAGCCTTACCAAGGTCCGCTCTCGTCCCATCTTGTCTGCCAAATTCATCTTTGATGATTATATCCGTTGCATGTCGGCTAAGCAGCGCCTCCAGAGGCGGCGAACGATGCTTAGACAACATAAACTGCACTGCATAGCTCAGCTGTTAGAACTGCCAGCTATGGCCTCTCCCCCGTCACACTATTATTCCATTACACCTCCGGCTTATGTTAATTTAGGCCCAGGACAACTCGAATCCCCGACAGATTCTCAAACAAACGAGTCCGCGAATGAGGGTGTTGACGGACCCGAGCAACCTCAAACGCATGCGCAGTCGATAGGTGATATGTCACAGGATGGCGCTCATGCTTCTTTTCCTGCAGCCATGCCTACGCCCGAACAGTGTTTGTCACCAGTCCACGGCACAGGACGACGAACAACTTCTCAGGCTGAGGCGTTAGCGAGCGTACTCGAACAGTCACCTCCGCCCAACAAAACGACTGTAGCTCGGACCATTTCGGTGGAAGAGGCAGCAGAAGCCATAGAAATGGAACTTACCAACTCGGTGCTTCAATCTGTTCAAGAAAATTGCTCTACCGGCAATTCCTCGCCTGTAGGAAACCTGTCACGCTCACAGTCTGCAGAAAATCTACGGCTTTTAACTGCCTGGAGAAATCCAGTATCACTATCGGCCCCTGCCACCCCCCGTGGGGATAGGCGCTCTCAACCAATCACGCTGGAGGAAGAGGATACCTTAGCAAAGGTAAATACTCAGAATTCAATGTCTGAGCCCGCAATATTTTTCAGTGGTCAGTATGACTCACCGGCGGCAACCGTCCATAAACCGGTCGAAAGAAAACTGAAAAGGACTGGGAACAGAAGAAGTGCACAAAAGGGAAAAGGAAGACAACGAAAAAGATGAATACTTTTTGACTTGTTTGAAAAATGATTCACAATGAATTATCTGTAGTAATGATTAAATGAAAGTAACTGCTTACGAACAGTAAAAGGACCTGAAATTAGGTAATGACACTGATATTTAAGACTTAATGCAAAGGATGAAAATACTCCTTATTGGAAAACTGAGACGAGATGAAATTGGCCCATATTTAAAAGAATTAGAATAGATTTTATTAAATGTGAAATTATTCTTTTATCAGGAAGATAGCATTACTTGCTTTGATTTTACAAAAACTCTAAGTGAGTAGATAATAATTGTTTAAAGAAGTAACGTTATATTGGAGGGCTTTGTCACTACAGATCAGTCAACCTGTCCTAAAACTCGACTCTCCTAAATGACCGATTCAAATTATACAATGACAGTGAGGAGAGGCTAATGAAGGACTAAATTAAGTGTGTCTTACAAATAACAGATTTTAGTGAAATGGTTTTGATATTCTAATTAAAAATTGTACAGAATCGTTTCGCGAAAGGATGATTACTTTTAAAGCGGGTTCTTGCCTCCACCCACCCCCCCCCCCCTTCACATTCTTATTTAGTTACGTTAACTCGTCATCAGCCACCTTTTCCTCTATGTTTTCTTGACAAAACAGAAGCAAGTTGTATGCAGAAATGTTTGATAATTTATCTTCTAGGCCTTTCCACAAATATTACTTGAAATCGTGTCAATTATCCGTAAGGAAATCTTCAAAAAAACAAAACCGAAAATCAAAATACTTGTTTCCTAAAAGTTTTCGACAAATTCCCTTTTATTAGTATTTTATTTTCCGATTTGGAGAATTACTGGCTCTAAGCGATAAGGAATGTACTATTCTCGTGGAAATGGATTTTTTTTCTAGTTTTGTTTCGTTAAACAAGCCAGGGAAATTCAAAGCTCAGGTAAGAAACGATATATTTTTACATAGATATCCTTAAAGTTTCTAGACATTGTAATATTTCTCATCAGATCCAGGAAATTTCTAAAAATTACAAGACGCATTATCTACTGAAAAAAAATATCCTGGAAAAAATATCCTGGAAGCTAACTTTCCTCACCTGTGGCAATTTACGTTCCTGTCAGAAAGGTTGCATTTTAGAGAATTAACAAGGTTAAAAGGCAGCATATTTTAGTTATGGTGGTAACTGGTAAGTTAGGCTTTACTAAAAATTTTTTTTATAAATAACCTCTATATATTTTCTAAATATGATCATCCCTTGAATTGGTAATAAGTAATAATGTGAAGCTTTTAAAATAGCAAGCAGTAGCCGTAGGTGTCAAAGAGACAATTACAATGGCGCTTCCTCTACTAAACCACCTTCCTTGCCTTAAACGGTTGAGCGATTACGAACTTAAAGGTCACAGTCCATGTTTAATTCAAAATACCTGGCTAAAAAACAGCAGGAAAGTAATGAAATTTGACAGAGAAAATTCAATTAAGAATTAAAGCTTCCATGAAGTTAAGTTGACGAGGAGAGAATGTTCAGTCGAGAGTTGAAGTGTTAGTTTGGACAGACTGTCCCTCTTGAATATTTAGCGTAAGTAGATCATATTTATTTTTTTTCATTTTATTTTCGTACCTGTTTTTATTTTTTGTCTCTTTAGTCGAAATGAAAATTTTTTTTGAAATGGAGTGTAACAGTAACTTGAAACTAAAACAAAACGACCAAGTTTTTAGATAGTTAGCATGTCGGAATTGTACTTTAAAACCTTGTGAGGCAGTGACTTTTCGTTTCACCCCATACGTTTCATACCTTATAGGTTACAACAGCCACTGATTTAGTTCACGAATTCTCCGTGGAAACAGCCCAACGATTACCTTCCATGTGAGATGTTTTTATTTTTCTTGTGCCTCGCTTTCTGCTTGGAGGTAACCAGTCCGAAACCATGGAAGATAGCTGTTAACGAAAACGGTAAATAGCCCAAATTGTTTAGGTAAACATGATTACTCTTCGTATTGATAGAGCGTAATAAATTCTTTGTTCATCGTATTTTCCGGGTCGGCATGTGGTACCAGTTCTTTTAAACCGTACAAGGAAATAAAGGAATGAAAAATTTTTTCTTGAAAAGTTTTAAATATTATAATTTTTTATTAAATGTGGCACATGAGTAGGGTTGAGGTTCTTTCAGTATATTGACCGTTACTTGATTAATTCTTTGCTTCACGCTTCAAAATAAAGGCCGGGTGATTTTCATGAACGAGAGAACTTCAGCTCTCAGTTTCTAGTCTATTTCAATAGATTTGCATAATGCGACACAACTATTGATCTTAAAATTATGTAAGTGTTATAGGTAGGTTTGTAGAAAGTTTATAGGGAAACTGCCTTTTGCTTTTTCATTAAAGGATTCTCCCGAACAGGTTACCTTGTTAGGCTCAGGGGCGCATGCGCCAACTTTCAGCTATTTGTGTGAATCATCTGAAACGACGAATGTGACTGTTTATAACTTACCCCATTTGACAGCCTATCAGGTAAGCTGATTGGCTCTTGTTCGCATGCGCACTGCCCTATTCTCCTAGACTACCGAGTCCAGTTGTATGAAGGGCGGATAAAACTATCCAACGGATAAATCGCTATAAGTAATAGCAAAAGTATAGCGTTCCCCACCGGATAGAGATTTATCCAGTAGATAGCGTTATCCGATCTTCGAACAACTGGGGCCTGTTGAAAAGTGCGCAACCTCAGCTCACATGTGTGCGACTTTTGCGTGTTGATACGTGTGCAACCTTTATTGACGCGTATGCAACCTTCGTTCACACGTGCGAAAAATTCCCAAGGGCGCGCACGACCTTCCTTCACGCATGGGCTTATAGGCTTAGGATTACACTCCTAAATTTTCCATCTTTAATCCTCATTTTAGATAACCCTGATGGCCTAAAAAAAAACACGATTTTAGATCAGATCGAAGAAGCAAACGAAGGTAAGACTGTGTTTCTCTGATCCAGCTTTGGTGTAAACAAAATGTTTAATATCATTTGTTCCACATCCACTCAGAGGACCACGTTGATAAGAAAGTCAAAAACATTTTCGAGGCTGACATAGAGCTGACTAAAAGTGACAGAGCGGGCGTGGACACCAAGAATCAGAACTCTAAAGATAATGCAGATGTTGATGTAGACAGTGTGCTTACCAAGCGCAAGGCCATCAGTTCCCGGCGACATCTATGGGTGACTAAGGAGGTACCTCTTGAGCTAGCGGTATCGGCAAGTAAGTTATCACAAATTGTCCTCACTTATGACTTAAGAACCGGGCCAAATGAGGTAAAAGCGGAGAAATCGTTGGCGCCGATAAAAGTTATAACAACAAACTTATAACGTTTTTACTCCCCCTACAGATCAAAACTTATTCCCTCTGACGAAGGGCTTAAGTTCAAAAGTCAGCATTAGAATCTCTTTACAGTGAACAATTCACAGCATGAACTGAGTTGATAGAACCAGTTTTAATCGTTAAATACCGACATGACACCATAATATCATATCAAACTATTTCCCCAGTGCGACGAACATTTGTTTTTCTCGGTTCCAGGTGCACACAACCACTAACCTCACGTAATGCGCATGCTCTCCGTTACGAATTTTCAAAATGGCGGACAAGCCAAAGAAAGAAAAAACAAAGCGATTTTGCAATGAATACTCAACATAAACCCTCGTTAGAAAGGCGAATCCACGGAGGAAAGATACAAAACTGTATGATACTGAGATCGATATGATATTAAATCGATACCGAAAGCCCGTTTCCAACTTGCTAAGAAGCGCATTTAATTGCCTTCCGCCACGATCACTAGCTTTCTTGACAGCCTTCTGAAGACAGAATACTTTCTTTCTGAAGACTTCTAATGTGCGGCTATTGATTATTACACCTCGTATACCTGATAGCTCAAACACTTTGTTTACGATTGTTGAAAGGACCGACTCATGGTTCTCCGTCTTCGTCTTTACATTGCTTTGAAATAGTATAGATTAGTAAGCTGAAACGAAAAACTAATCAGGGATGTTTACGAAAAATCCAGCAAACAAGCTTAAAAAAGGCATTTATTTAGACTTCGTACTTCAACGAACTTCACAAATCTTACTTGTTTATCTTGTAAGTAAACGATGGCAGACTAATTCCCGAAGCGCTTTCTGAGTTTCCCGATCCCTCTCCTACTGCTTTCACGCTTACAAAACAGGAAAAAATCAAAAAGAGGAAGATACAGCTTTTTTTAAACGCCATTTGACGAGGGTAAATCTGCTTTTTGTTCGACAATTTACATATCAAAACAAAGGAAATTTGTTCCTCTTTTTGATTCTGGCGGTACATTTTTAATTTGCGCCTGCGTAAAAGAGATATCGCCCGAGACCCTTCGCTCGGTCGTGTTTTGATCAAAAACGCCTTGTTAATTTCACGCAACTGCTCGGAGAAAAGGTAAAAATGACGAGGGAAAAACTTTACCTTCAAGTTAGAAAATTAGCGAAATAGAAAGCCACAATATTATAGTTTAATATTTCAGAGGTACATTGAGTGCTTTTTCCGTAGAGAATCCGCAAAAAAGTAAAACATTCGAAAATTACACTCGATTTGAGTGGGGTGTTGAAGTGGGCGTGGTCACCACATTCATTTTAAGACTATTTGTACCCCATGAGTTTGATATGTTTAGAAAATTATCCCCTTTTATCAGTAAAAAGACATTGTTATGTTTGCGCATGAGAACAATTTGTAACAAAGAGATGTAGGGCATTAGCGAGGAGAATCTAGTTTCAGACTTTGGGAGGGAAAGGATTAAAAGGAGAGATGAGGAATGCTGGCCTGAAAGCGATTGTGAAATTCGTTTGAAAAAACACAAACCACATCCTTTTTTTTCTTAACCCAAACAGAAGATGGTTATAACAATATTAGGGCGGCCCTAGGCGAAATTCAGTCAAAATCGTGCATTCGATTCAGGATGAGGGACAAAGATGACGATAACTGGATACGTTTTGTTAATAAAAGCGGGTAAGTAGACCATTAGAGAATATTAGGAAAGAGACTCAGTCATTCTCAATTCACCTAGTCCATAGCAAGATATTTTTTGTGCCATAAATAATTGAGGAGTCCTACATGTCACGACTAGAACGCCGGCGTAAACGGGCTTTCATTTCTCCTAAAAATTTGGCCAGATGCGTAATGCATTTACCGTTTCTGGCAGTTTAAGATCATTCCCCCCCTAAAGAAGAACATGCCTGTGAATGCAGCTTTGAATTCAAGTTGAAACTTGTCTAAACTACCGTTCTAGTTACCGTCCCAGCTATGGTTTCATAGAACTCGTAATTTTTTATTTTTTTTAATACCTAGTCTTGCCTTTGGGCTTCATTGTTGGGCCTAACACTGAAAATTACGCAAGACTTTTGACGAAAATATAAAAAAGATCGTAACTGTGTTTTCATTTTTTCTGAATTCCGAAGAAGCAAACTTTCAGAAACGTTCTACCAAAGACGACTCGTTTGCCGTATACATTAACAAAACTTGTCATAGATAATTGCTGAAGCAGAAACTCAAGATTAGAATGTCCAATGGTGGAGTTTTTTACGAAAGCAAAATGGAACAAAATATCTTTCAGTCGACACCAGACTATTTTGAACACTTTAATCCACGAATCTCAGCTTAGATGCTAAACACCACATACAGAAACTAGCTCTCTCATTCAACTACTGAAACACACACTTCAAAACTTCGTGGTCTCTGGTACACATCATGTCAGAAACACCGTTCAGTTCTTCTCTTAGAAAAGTTTTCGTTCTTCAAAGAGTAGCACGGGAGTCCTTTCTACTAACTCCTTCCTCAAGAAGCCAAACACTGTTACGTCACTTTAGGGCATGCGCATTTGCTTTACAAAAACGTGTCGCGTTTCCCCCGTATACTGTCTACAGAAACTCGTTAAAAGAGCATCTGTGAAGGAAAACTCGCTAGTTTGAATGCTGTTTTTGTTGTTATGAGCCAAAACATTCGGTTGCATGACGCTTCCATCCTGTCTGTCAGTTGCTTTTCACCAGTTGGCCGTCAATATGCCTCACCCGGAGCGCAGGAGCTGTCCATCGGTATAGGATGTAACCATAAGGGGATTATTATGCACGAGTTGCTGCACGCGCTTGGCTTCTGGCACGAACAGTCCAGGTCAGACAGAGATGACTTTCTTGAAGTGCTCTGGGAGAACATCCAGAAGGGTATGTATCTATGATTGGTTTGATCCTTTCACTCCCAGGAGTGACTTGTTGGTAATTCTACTTTATAATACCCGTGCGATGCTAGGGAGAAAGATCACGAGAAAAGTAACATTATGGACAAGAAGTTACCTGTACTCTCTGGAGTGGCACCAAATGCTCAGATTTAAAATCTGTATGAAATGTGTTGCAGACAATACGAAAATTGCTATTGATAGGATAATACTAATAGTAGTAGCAATAATAATAATAATATTAATAACAATACCAAATAGTTATACAAGGCAGTTGTAGCAGAGACTCCCAGATGCCAATAGGATACAGGACAATAGCGTTTACGCTCGTGCAAAGGGACGAGAGAAAGAGGAAATTCACTTCTTATCGTTTATTTTTTTCCAGGGCAAGAACATAATTTTAACCGCTACAAACCAAAGGATATGGATTTCTATGGTGGCTCTTACGACTTTTCGAGTATTATGCATTATGGGAACTTCGCGTTTTCCAAAAACAAGAGACCAACCATGTTGTCTGTAAAGGATCCGACACTACAGTTCGGTCAAATCGCTGAACTGAGCCCAACAGATGTAATACAACTTAACAATGTATACGACTGTAAATGTGAGTGACTTCAAGAAAAATAAGAAATCCCAAGTACATTTGCAAACCAAAAATACACGACACAAAGTTCAATTACCTTTACATCACATCTATTTTGAAATATCACAATTTAATCACACAAATACAAATAATCACTACAGATGTTATAAAATTTGCATAGATTACCCTTTTAGTGTTGCTTCCTCATTGGTTGGGAAATGGATGCGATTTGCAGAAAAAAAAATTGTGCAATTCGTGATTAAATCACATCGCTGAGAACTAATCAGATTGCAAGGATCACCAGTGATTTCAAAATGGGTGTAATAAACCCGGATTACAAATGACAATATGGACGAAGTCAAAGCTTGATTTATATGAAATATTTCAAAATGTTCGGTGCGTGACATAGATACTTAAAATGACGTATTGGATGGCACAATTACTTGATTGGTACACGTCTTACCCTAAGACTGGCTTGGAGCATCAGGTTTTAAGAATGAAGATTGAAAACTACAGAGACTTCACCAACTGTTTTTGAACCTTTTTAAAAAATAATATTGCGTTGTTTTTATTTCTGAAAGCCGACAAAAGTCGTGGTTGGAGTAACTGGGGTAACTGGGGACCCTGTGACAAGAAGTGCACAAGGGAGAGAGAAAGATTCTGCTCAGCAAAGAAACTGGAAAAGTGTCCGGGAGCAACAAAGAGATACAGAATTCAATTGCAAAAGGGAAAGTGCCCTTTCAAGGAATGCTATGGTGAGTTTTGAAGCCTCCACTGAGGTGAAATCTGACAATAATTTTCGAAAGCTTCTTAGAGTCTATTGATTTCAATGATCATTTTTTTGGTTGGAATGTCTTCCTCTTATGTAGCTCCAATCCAAGGCCACTGGGGCAGGTGGGGTCCTTGGAGTCAATGCTCTCGGACATGTGGCCAGGGTTATAGTAGAAGGTCCCGGCAGTGCGATGACCCGAAACCTATGTATGGTGGAAAGTATTGCAAAGGAAATCTCGTCGAAATTCGCCCCTGTCAGTTAAAGAAGACATGTAAGTGAAAGCCCCATAAGACGTAGGGTACTTTCCAGCTGAGTGTTGAGTCCGGTGTTGCATCTACGTTTTTTTTTTCTTTGCCAAGGCTCTGTGGGTTTATTCTAAGTTCTCATGGGTACTTTAAATGTTTTTCTACGATTACTCTTATGACTTTCGTGGTAAATTTAGCTTTGGTTTTGAGATATCATATCTCTTAATCGTTTAATTCCCAAGATCTCATTAGTATTTCTCCTTACTGTTTCCCATACAGTTCTTGTGACGTTAGTTGGGAGAATTTGGTATTGGATCAACTTGTAATCCCCTAATTGATATTTCTCTTTATTCTCATCACTTGCCTGCCTGAAATTGTATGGATAATGTAGGGAGAAATTCTGTCTTGGTCACTCATGGGAGTTAAAGGGCTAATTACCCTAATATCAAATATCCTCCCACTAAATGCAGCTTTTTTTCAAAGAGGAACTCCTTCCAAGTCGATAGGATAATAGCGGTAACCTATCTAAGCCAATTAAGCAGCTCAAGCGTTTAGATAGTATTTTACAGAAACACGTTAACGTGGAAGTGTTACTTGCTCTGTTCCATGTTAAAACTAACAGCTTTTATTCCTTACGAAATCATTATAATTTATACAGAGTGCGGTGCTCGCACTCATGGTAATTGCAAAGTTGTGCGTGCTGCACGAGTGCAAAGGCTTGGCAACCAAACACACAACTGTAAAATGGACTATTTCCAAAAGTGCACAATTTAGGAAGTGAATATTACGCATAGTAGTTGAAGAATTACTTGTAAAGTGTTCCGTATCCGAGACGGGCGGACGGATAGGCACACGACTGTACTGACGAACGTGTGGTCTGTTACATAAATGAAATGAAATTTGGAAAAAAGCTAATTTGTGCTGAAGGTGTCGTAGATAAGGCTAATCTGTTATTGACGTTCACAACTTATTTTTAGGTGGGTGGTAATGGAAAAGAACCCGGTAGTTTCCAAGCAGAGAAATGACCAATGGCTGATGTTTAATCAATTGAGTGCCATTTAAGGAAAAATCAACCATGACAGTTATCGTGGTACTGTGGATTGAATAAGACAGACACACAAAGTTTTATCTAACCTATCCACCAGTCTTGGAAGAAGTAGACTCCTTTTAGTTATTATACCAACGACAGCTTGTTACCTAGGGTGCAATCAGCCACCACAAAAGAGCCCTTTTCAGAAATGGTCCGAGAAGATTACAAATGTAGCACAACAGACTCGAATGATTTAAGTAAGCATTTTCTCAGGATGGACAAACCGCGATGAGGTTGCTATAAGATAAAGAGCTTAACACAACGTGTTTACTTTTTTTTTCTAACTGGTGAAAAGTTCATCATTTTAAATAAACATAAATTTTTAGGTATATTTCCTTCTCGTTGATTTGTTATTTTTCAGATTTCATGATTTTGGATACTAACCTTATTGATAACCCCTTTTGAATGATAGAGTGCAATTTTATCCCTTTCGTTTAAGGGAGAGAGGGTTTTTCCGTTTTGGGGCGTCCTTCCAATTGTTACTGGACAAAGCATACGCAAGGGTCGAGAAACTCCTAAGAGGCAGGAATGAACCACAGGCGAACAGTGATGGCTAAAGATGAAGAAACATTGACATGGATTGCAAACGGTGGTAACCCGTGACTCAGATGGTTTAGAGATTTAGGTGCTTGAAAAAAAAAAATGAAAAAAAAAAAAAGGTTTTGTGTGAATCGGCCAGCCACAAAGCGCCTATGTAACGCTTTCTTATCTTTTTTCACCCGCGCGAGAAACGATTGCGTCAGGCTTAGGTTTTAGAAATAATTCAGCCATCTTCTTCATTGGCATTTTGGGAAGATTTTCTTTAAATGCTTTGACTAATTATCGTGAACTGATAGGTGTCCATTGTTTCCTATCAGCTAAAAAAAGACTTCCAAGTTGTGATATATAATTGAATAACAAAAAGCACCCGCAGGCACCTGTTACGAAACAAGTATACCCCAGTAGCGCGATTCAAGAAAATCTTTTACTAATTTGTGAATTACTTCAAGCGTCACCCGATAGCAAAAAAAAAACACTAATCTACGGAATTTCTCCTCTGATTTCAAAGGTAGGTAGAGTTTTGATACCATTTGAATTTATTCATTTCATGAATAAGTTCTGGTTACTTTGCTTTCGCCCAAAGTGTGAAAAATATCGCCGGCATGTTGACAAAAAAATAAACACTTCATTCACATCCTGATAATATTCTTATCAACAACATATTACCACTTTATCAATGATAGAATGATGTTTAGGATCTTTCAGTTCCTTTGCAATGTTCAAGTATTTTGTTGAAGGCGCCAAGAACCATGTGATGATCGAGCAATGAACAGTGCTTGAATAAATGATAACTTGACACATGACAATACTAAGGGCATATTTAGTAAATAAACAGCATCTTCTTTTCTCTAAATTGCAGTATACAATAACTAAATGGCCTTTTATCTATTTCTCTCTTTGAGTGCTGTTTCTCTTCTCTTTTCCCTTTTTTTCATCAGCTTTGCTCCTCACAATTCTGTAATTATTCTTCCAGTGATGCTACTTTAACGAAAATGACTGTTTGATGACCTCTCATTCTCCTGCTGTACATCTGTTACAACTAATCATCTTCATGATTTTTTTCCCTCCAGTGTGGACATGGTTATTAACGCATCTAACACCGTTTTGCACTGTTGATCGGCAGAAACTCTCCCCAAATGTAGGCAACAAGATAGCAAGAGGTCGATTGTGAAAAAAAGATGATTTGAAGCAGAAGAACCACTCCTGACATCAGTTTGTGTTTTAAAAGATACATCCAATTTTTACTCCCGTTGATTAGCTAACCAAAATGTTGCTGGCAACATTTTTCTTCGGGATTGCTTTTTGTGTCTCGCATCCTCTGCATGGTGGGTTATTTCTTTTCAATAAATGACACAAGCATTGCTTCAGAATTTCATATCATCATATTTGACATGCAATCATGACTGAATCTTGCCCCCTTCGAACGACAGGTAAACCTAGACGCCACCACCTTGTTTTTGATGGAACGGACAAAACGGTTCCACAGAATCTGACAGATTCCTCCGTGGTAAACGAAATCGAGGAGATTAATGAAGGTACGGTATTTATGTTTAAAATGGTTAGTAACTGCATCACGATCTCTCATCCATTTCAGTAGAGCGTAGATCAACTCAGTATCACCAATCCAAAACCAAAATAATCACAACAGCCAATCATGACAGAGAAAAATCACACAAGGAACCCGTAACTAAACTGCCTGACACGCGGGAAAACGCCGGCGAGTAGCGTATGCAATTTGTTGTGATTTTGCATCTGATTGGTCGAGAGAGTCGCAGGAGTTTTACAGGAGTTTTTTAATGAGTGCATTGAAGCAAAACTGATGACACCAGGATTGCTATCCACTTTTCATTGAATATTGCCCTGTCATGCAACTAAGAAACCTTTTAAGAAGCACACAGCCAATTATTGACCTCACATTTTGTATTTTGTGTTTCTTCTTTGGCAGAAGAAAACAAGAATCTCTTCGAAACCGACATCAAACTCACTAAAAGTGACTTCGACCTGGTAGATACTAGTGAAACAGGAGATGCTAAGGGCGCCCAGGTTAAAGTCGAAAATATCGAGGAAAATGCAGAAAAAAGGAAAGGTGTGCGCACGCGTAGAAAGATCTGGCCGTCTAGGATCATTCCAGTGACGGCCACAGTTGCTTTGGGTGAGTGACGTTAAAGATGTTAATATCAGTTTATGACCGAAAAAGTGCCGTCTACAACCAATCAGATTCGTACATTTTGGTACCGGTAATGATAAGGTTTCTGTTCAATGTCAGTACATGAGCAACTGCGCACCCACTCCTCCCCAACGCTAACCCTAATTTGTTATCAGTTGACTGTTGTCGGGTTAAGGGAGGGGTAGGTGCGTAATCGTTCAGATACTGACATAGATTCAGTTTTTTTAACAGTTCTGTAAAAGTACATCATTATCTCCTTTGAATCAGGTGATGCACTAGATAATATTCGAGCAGCCATGAAAGCAATACAAGATGTGTCTTGCGTGCGCTTCAAAGATAAGAAGGAAGGAGATAAACACTGGATAAGGATGGTAAAGAAGAACGGGTGAGCGAAAAGTGGATTTTAGTGACGGAGGAAACAAAACTCAGAGGTGTCTCACTCTAGGAGTATAAATACAATTCGAGAAATGTTACCCATCAAAATCCCCGGAATCCCCAGGATTTGCAGGAGACCTCAGATGACCATTCTTGAATCTTCAAATGAGTTGAGAGGGATTATCCTTAAAACAAGCTTTGTATGGGGGATCCAGTCTCCTAACGTAGTAACTCGGTTAAGTTATAGTAAAGTTAGGGAGAGAACAAGAGGCAGCTACGATGGATTTGTATTCCGGCATTTATGACAAGATTTACCTTTGTTAGACGTATTCGCGGTTAGCTCTGGATTAAAAGGTTGGGGTCGATTTCTGGGCGGGTAATTTTGTTCTTTCGTTGGGAAAGACATTTATTCTAGCGGTGCGTCTCTCCAACCGAGGAGTATAGGAAAAGCGATATGACAGGGTGACTTTGAAAAATGTTAGAGGCAACCTGCAGTAGACTAGCATCTCATCCCGGGCTAGCAGCAGTAACCCCCCTCTCCTCATGCTGCGGACACCATCCGGGGATATGTTGGGCTGGATTGGCCGCTTACCTCTCATGCAGACTTTAACTTTTACCCATAATTAGCGTTCAAGACTCAGATCGACCATGTGAAAAAAAAGAAAAAGAGAATTATCGCTTTTACTAAAAATCATTTTGTGTTGTCTCTTTAGATGTTATTCCGTTGTCGGCCGAGAGTATAGTGTGCCTGGTGCACAAGAGCTTTCCATTGGAGATGGGTGTAACAGTAAGGGAATCATACTCCATGAGCTCATGCATGCCCTCGGATTCTGGCACGAGCAATCCCGCACGGATCGGGACAAATATATAGCAGTACTATGGGAAAATATTCAAAAAGGTGAGAGAAAAGATTGATCTAACCAGCCAGATCTACTTAATTCAGTATCCTGTTTTCCTCTCGTTGTGAACTGGTTCTCGCCTCGTGTGACACTTTTGTGTTTTTCCCACATTTTAACGCCATCTGTAACTACTACTGATCGTGAACGGACGGCAACATGGATTCTTTTTGATAAACAAACGTCGGGATTTAAATAAGCGCCCGGGTGCTTATCCGAGAAAATACGGTATGTTTAATCAAGATAATGATATCACAGGTATTGGTCTTTCCATATCAATTATTAAGAAACCTTTTGTTTACCATGCCCTTTTCCACAGGTCAAGAGAGAAATTTCAACGAACATTCCGTAAATGAAGTAGATTTTGCTGGTGGAATGTATGACTTTGATAGTATTATGCATTATGGAAACTATCTGTACTCCAAAAACAAAAAGATGACCATGGTTGCGCTGAAAAATCCTAACTTGCTGTTCGGGCAAACACTAAAGCTCAGCCAGACCGACATTCTACAAATAAACGCCATCTATGACTGCAAAAGTAAGAGTTGTATTTCTTAGAAACCATCATAACTTAATATCGCTACTTCCCTTTTTTCGTTCTATCTGTCGTTCCTCTCTTGTCTTGTGTCATAATTTTTAACGTGATATTTTAGGGTTATTGGTGTCACACAAACAGGTGAGTAACACCTCTGGCATTTATAATGGTTACCGAAGATTCTCTTCGAATCTGACAGACATGAAAACCACAGATTTTGTCTAACTTTGAAAAACTGAAACTTTCACATCTTTCAATTTTCCAAAGTTTCTTTAAGGGGTTGCAAATGCCGGATCATATCAAAAACGTTGTCACTATGGTTTGATGGACATCGATTATAAAGGAAATTAGGGAAGTCAGCCACACCTAGAATGTTGTCTTCACGAGTCGAAATGAACATTTCTCGAGGGTATGAAACCCCTTTCAATATTTCACACTTATGCTTTAACTGAATTATTTGACAATTTTCAAACAGCTCCCAGTGGTCAGTGGAGTAGATGGACAGAGTGGGGTCCCTGTGACATACATTGCACAATGGTGCGTGAAAGGTTCTGTGCGGCAAAAGACAGGAAAAAATGCCCAGGGGTAGATAAAGACGGAATACAGACTGATATCAAACGTTGTGATTCTGAAGAGTGTAATGGTAGGATGATATAAATTTCTCTCTATCTTTAAGACTCATTTTTAAACATCTTTATTTTAGAAGAAGGAAAAGGCGTTTTGTAAACAAATAACTTTTTTTTTCGCAAAAACTATGATTTGGTATACGCGTACGTATCGTATCCTGTAAAATACATCCTTTGTATTGACCTGATATAATGAAAGACTGATAAATGTAGCGGAACGAAAAATTAGAGACGACATTTTGCCGAAGAAATCTGCAAGAAAAAAATAACACCACTGCACGCCAGGAGACTGTCGGTTTAGAGTTGAATAATGAGCCATATATCACAGTGGCTAACCCAATCAAACTGTAGTATTTAACCATACGACATGAATCTATGTTTGATTCCAGTCCCTTTAAACGGTCATTGGGGACGGTGGGCAGCCTGGAGCGGGTGCAGTGCCACCTGTGACAAAGGGTATCAAACAAGGTCCCGGCTGTGTGATGGACCGGCACCTCAGTTTGGTGGAGATATCTGCGAGGGACCGCTTGTTGAGGTACAGATGTGCAAAGGGAACAGACCTAAATGTAAAGGAAAAAAGGACGGAGCAAGTAAGTAGGATCAGGCTCATTTGTTGCTTCTTCTGGCTCTTTGATTGGTGGAGACAACACTCGCTATACGTTCTCTACCAATCAGATGCAAAATTAAAAGCAATCGTGGTTCCCATTGGCTCCTTTCAGTGATATCATGCTTTATCCTGGTTGGTCGATGCGACTACTTCGGTTCAGGTGTTACGACACCCAGTCGAAAAGCGCTCCTTCAATGCTTTGACGTGATACCATCAAATACACTCATTTATGCATAAACGCGTTTTTCATCCTCTGAAACAGTTCCCTTCATTTCATGTCTCCTTCGTAGAACATTTTCAGAGAATTGCCTTGCCCTAAAAAGACTCGTGTTCAGAAAAATATTGCTGCATGAAAAAATCGACGCCACCTCAAAATTCCTTTCCTCCATAACTTTGGTCTCATTCGACGATAACCGTGAATAACCCGGAGTTCATATCGGTCCATATGATAAATTTGCACAAATGTTAAAATCATCCACGTTTATCAATACACCACAAGATTACTCCGAGTTTCATACATTAGTAGAATATATGTACGAGTAGTTGAAAGGTGGGTCGTGATTCCACTCGATCCACTCGTTCACTCAGTGTCAGTAAGAGAGTAAGAGCCTATGTTTAGATACGCAACGAACTTTGAATACAGGAAGCCGTGATGTGTTGAGATTCTTTCCATATAGATGGTTTTTTGGTGAATTTACTTTTGATTTTTTTTGTCAGAAATGTGGCGCAAGCGAAAGAGAACGAGAAAAATCCTTGGGAAGAGAGATGGCACTTAAAAGGCTTTAAATAACATTATAACATTAGACGGAGAAACAAATTAGCTTATAAGTAAGATTTATTAAACCCTTCTGTCAGTTATACTGTTTTTTTGGAGTCTTTTAAAAGCTTTTTAAGTAAAAACTGAAAAAAAAGGAATTTGGCTGCTTAGAAGTTTCGGTTTAGTTCATAAACAAGAGACGCAGCTCGTGAAGCAACAACAGATTAAAAGAATTTGAAACCACTTACTGCAGCTACAACAGAAACTACATTGGATAAAAGCACCCTTCATTGGTGTTTTCTTTTTAACAGAAATAACGCTAAGTAAAAATTTAAAACATTCTCCCCGTAAAGTATAAAACAACCCCCACACACACCAGGTCTAAACTGCCAGAAAACTACAGTCTTCCACTGATTTTTCGCAATCAAGGATTCGTTTTAAGACAACAGTTTGGTTGAAAGATTGCGCTTAAGATATTTCGTAATGAAAATTCATCACTGAGACAGCATCTAAAAAACTTCTAAATCCAGTGAGATTCGTATTGTAACTTTTGACGGGTACTCCTGCCATAATTTACCAAATTTAACCCTTTACAAACTAATATCAATCAATGCATCCTTTCTTGACTATTCTCATTCGCTCAAATTAACAGCTTCTTTAGCTGGTGATCATTTCCTTTATTTTCGTGACCTTAAAGTTTGATTTAGGGGTGATACAGTAAGTACAAATAGGATGCGTTAATCTGCGTAATTATCAAATCAGGCGATAGTGTTAGCAAGAGAAATTTAAGCTCTTTTCCAAGAATGATGATAAATAAACGAGATTTTAGACCCAAAAAACGTTGCTGAAAGAAAATATCACATGGTAATTTAAAACCTGAAAGAAAGCACTTGTTTATATGTACTTTTTGATCGAAGTAACCAATAGATCCTGATCTCTTTAATCTACCGTTTAATCTTCTCACTAAATAACATTATTTTATGCACTCTCTTCACGATCTTGTTTAAAATCATTACGCTTGAAGTGTTCAGGTTAAGCACGTGTCGGTCTGCCATTTTTATCGACAAGAATGCCGCAAAGTTCTGGAAAGCGTGGAATGCACAGCGCGGAATTCTGGCGACCTCAAGGGAATGCCTGCTTTAAAACAAACCTCAGCCAAAGCCAAGATTAGCGGTCTTTCGACAGAAATGCACACACCGACCGGTAAGTCTCTACGAAGTTTTGCCTTCCTGCCTCCCATTCGGCAACGTAACCTTTAGCTTACTGCCAACTCTACACTCGGCCTACTTGCACACAGCTCGTCGCTCATTGCCTCGTCCGACCTTTTCCTCATAACTTATTGTCGAGATGAAAATGGTTTAATATTCAGAAAGACAGAGGTCACTTATCCATTTACACTCTATCTGTTCGCCAGCTTTTTTGTTTGTTTGTTTGTTTTTTTAGAGCTTGTTTCCTCTAAAACTGAATTTTGCGAAGCAAGTCGCCCTAAAACCTAACGTTGTAAGATCATAAAATAAACACTGCGAACGGTTAGGTTAAAACCTTCAGAATAAACCTCGAGCAACTTCTGAAGCCGATAAAATTTTGGTAAAATACAATTTTACGATCTATCCGAGGACAAGACGTTTTCTAATAATAGGTCGGAAATCGAAGAATTTTCAAAGATATTGTCTGGTACCCGAAGACGTCCGATCTATTCCAGAAATCGATAAATCTCCGACGACGTTGCCGTTCATTCGTAAATGGCCGATATATCACGATCAACCAAAATCCCCACTGTTCGTCCGAAGATCTAACGTATCACCCGAAGATGGCCGAAACATGCGAACGATTGTGCGAGACTATCACCGGACAGCCAGAGAACACATGTATTTAGCAGCAAAGCAGGAGACAGGTGCCAACACAATGAACCCGCAGGTTGAGGTTTAAAGATTAAAAGAAATTTATGTAAATTTTAAAAGACGAGAATGTTTGATGGACTTTGATGCGAAACAATTTCCTGAAGACTTCAGAGATGTTCCGAGGAAACATTGTGCTCGTATTCATCATATGGTTATGTGTCACGTGTTTTCCCTTTGCTTCAGGTTAGTGATTTGCCAAATTTATTTGATCAGACAAAATAGAGAGCTGCTGTACTTTAAAAATCAGAACTGAACAACACAAGAAATCAAATTTCGCTAATCAAACGTAGAAACAATAATATAAGTGTTACAATTGTTTAAGTCTGGATTGGGAATTTGAACGTTCGCGGTAGTGATTTTTTGTTACCGCGTTAGTACATGCACATCTATCGATCACTGTGTTCATGCTCATTACGCTCAGTTGTGGTTCTATATGTTGTAACTGATAGTCACTCCTCTTACAGGCAATCCATCCATGAATGGAGCAGAGACAAAATCTATTGAATCAGAAAAGCCAGATGATGCAGTCTTGAATCACATAGAAGGGCTGAATACTGGTATGGTTCAATGATTTATAAACATCAGGCATCATGGAAATTCTCAATATCATATTCTTAGTAATTTCCTTAATTTCAGGTAAAAACTCAATGTAGCCATGTATGTGAAGCAGTTTTTTTCTTCAAATCACCTCAGAATTACAAATCTCTTTTCTGAATTTCTTGCCAAGTATTATATTTAAGTGTGCCAGTGAGTAAGTTCTTCTGGTCGTGAACCATGAGGTTTAAACGTATGGAAAAATGCTCTCAAGTTTACATGTTTCTGTGGTAAAAAGAAAGGAGAAAACGAAGTCAACACTAAACGGGATTGAGTGCACGGCCTAAAGATCATGCCAAAGAAATTTTGATTTTCATGAACAAACCAATGCCTTGTGAACATAATAGCTTTTCAAAGGATCAGTCAGAAATGAGGATTTGCTCTCAGCTCGCGAGATCAACCGCAGGACGAAATTGGATAAAACAAATTAGTTTTCGTCTTTTACAGGTGTTAATGGCAGACTGTACGAGGCAGATATTGTTTTGACTAATGAAGATAAGCACCTTGTTGATCAACGAGAGGAAGGTGATGCAGATGGACCTGAAGGTGGAAATAACGTTATAAGGAGGAATGCTGTAAGAAACAGACAAAAACTGTGGAAAACCCGTGTTTTGCCGTATAGAATATCTCCAGCTCTGTGTGAGTCTTAAAGTGGCTGTGTATTGTTTTCCTGATAACCAACTAACTATATTATATCAGAATGTTCCAAAATCAACTTCCAACTTTGCAATCGCACAATTTTCACACGAGTTGACCTGGGGATTAAACTTTGGAATGAAGGGAATTGCAGGATGATAGCTTGGTACGTGGTAGCTCTTGTTACTTTTAACTTCCTACTTTTTAGATCGCGTCAAGAGTGTAATCATGGCAGCCATTAAAGAGTTCCATCGACACACTTGTTTACGCTTCAGGCGGAGAAGGAAAGAACCGCACTGGATCTATTTCGTGAAACGGCCTGGGTAAGACAAGGGAACAAAAATTGTGATTTTTATATCACTCATAACTATTTTAAAAGGTATCGATATTTGCAGTCGAGTCATTTGCAATCATGTTAATTTGATATAGCGATCTTGTAATTATTTCACTTGATCTCATTGGTGTTTTGCTTCCAGTGAAGTTACTTAGTCAGCGGTTTTCCCGCAAAGGTAGCCAGGTAATAGGAGCGAATAAAGGCTACTCCTGTGTGGTTCTGATCAGGAATTTCCTATCAAACGCCATAGCCATCAGTCAAACGCCCCCAGCTTATAATTTTTTATCAGCCAATTCTCCCCCGCGTATAGATGAGGCTGACCACTTTAAAATACGCTATTGTATAAACTGAGTTTTGATGCAATGCATTTTACAGCTGTTGGTCGTCCGTAGGTCAGAAGGTCTCCATCCCGGGTCCCCAGCTTCTTTCCATCGGTCCCGGATGTGATAAGAAAGGAATCATAATGCATGAGCTTATGCACGCTGCTGGCTTTTGGCATGAACAGTCACGCACGGATCGTAACAAGTACGTGGAGATACTATGGGAGAATGTCGCCAAAGGTATACACTCTGACTCGCCGGCGAGTTCTCTGAGGTCAGACGTCTGCGCAAGTGCAAATATCGAAACGTGTAATTGTCTTAAGGGATGGCCCGACAATGGTTGATGAACAGGACTCGTGCTATCAAATAAACATTGTGTTCGAAAAGTCTCGAGTTTTTGTCCTCCCTACATTTGTGTCCTTTTAGACATTTTCCTTTCTATCGTAAATTTTTTGCGAGGGCGCTGTTTTCATCCTTTTTAAAATTTTGCATCAGGAGTTGGCGCGCCACTGACCAAAATTTGCGTATGCGTCATGTTTGACCGCTATCTTGTTCTCATTGGCTCACCTGGTTGAGCATCCAACCGCGACAGGGAATTCGAATGTTTCCGGGGGGAGGGGAGGGAGTTCCTCTTGGTCTTATGATTGTTACAATATTTAAGATCTCTCTTAAATGAGACTGATCACGGCATATTGCAATTCCTGAGTTTTGATTGGTTTACAGCACAAGGCATCTGAGCTCATATACCATAGACCAAGAATATGGTAGGTGCGAGTTTTACTTTCCATCTCAATATCACAGGTCAGGCCCATAATTTTAACAAGTACCCGCATGGCAAGTTGGACTTCCTGGGTGCTATGTACGACTTCCAGAGCCTGATGCATTATGGGAGTCACGCATTCTCCAAGAATGGAAAACAGACTTTAAAACCCATCAAACATTCCGGATCGAAACTCGGCCAAAGGAAAGGTTTCAGTGAAACCGACATACAGCAGTTGAATGCGCTGTACGACTGTAAAAGTAAGTGTCAATTGAGTGTTTTTATTAAACGGGATTGCATTAGTTTTACCACTGAGCTTTTCGATTGAGTGTTGTAAATTTAGAACTAAAGTAATCACAGCAGCCAATCAGAAGAAAGTAAAATACCTCAATGAGCCAATGAAAACTCAAAGTTAAAACAAGCGAACCACGCAGAGCGCGAGAAAACGCTGACCATCAAGTCGTGATTGTCCAGTTGTGCATCTGACTGGTTAAGAGAGTGGTGCGATTTTTCTGGAACAAATACAGAGCGAAGTAAAGCAAAACCAATGCTGTCCCGGATTGCTTTCGATACTTGAACGAAAACTGCTCTAGTAAGAATTAATGATCACCGACTAAATTCTCCTTGTCAACACTTAAGGAAATGTATAGAGAACAGTATGGATAATATGCATACTGATGTTAGGATAGAAAGGGTTATTCCAGGCTGTGTATCTTCCCTCCTTTCTCTATTTCACTAGTTCATACACTATTTCACTCCTCTGTCATTTAGTTAACTAATAAATCAATTAAATCATTTATTTATGTATTCATTTATATATTTATCTGTTTTAAAAACTCGAATAGGTGAAAGCTCTAAGGCGTGGAGTTCTTGGACAAAGTTTGGTCCGTGTAATGACAAATGTCAGAAGGTTCGTCAGAGATTCTGCACGACAGGTGATCGAACACGCTGCCCTGGGGCGGGAGCTTACGGAATTCAAAAGCAGCCAAGGACATGCTCGCTAAACGAGTGTTATGGTACGTATAATAGACAGGGCGGATAACCACAAGCTAGGGCTGTCATCGTTTTCCACGCTCATAAGGTGCTTAAAATGCCTCATATACATAGAAAAAGCTTTGATGTCGGAGACTGTTTACATGTCATCGTGTTTTGATTTTCAGCTCCCGTTCATGGCCACTGGGGCCGCTGGAGCTCTTGGTCTCCCTGTGGTCGAACTTGTGGGCCTGGCCTTCGCGCCAGAAGGAGGCTGTGTGACGATCCACGTCCGAGGTATGGTGGGAAAAGATGTAATGGAAGCAGCCTTCAAACTGAACGATGCACGAGACGCGAATGTTGACGGAACACTTAGAAAGTATTGAAAAAAGGTGATGAGACTGTCGATAAAAAGTCATTTGTAATAAAACTCCACCCCAAAAACAACTGGAATAATGATTTTTAAATATGGTGCGATGATTCAAAAAGTCGATCAATTGCACTTGTGAATAACGATTCGCGAACAACGGGGTAAGAGTTACATTCTGCACGGGGTTAGGCTCCTAAGGAGAATAAGACACCACCCACCTGGGGTTTTTCAGAACCTTATTTCCACTCTACCCTACCCCACAGGGGGTTGGTGTCTGGGCTTGCTCGAAGAGATTTTCCTCGTGTTCTTTGGTTTTCCTCTGCACGAAAGCTTGAAGGACTTGAACGTTTTGAGGAGTTTTGAGAGCTCTTCCTTGTTAAATGGGTAAATTATTATTCATTTTATAAGGGTTTCATGATCACTGACTTGAGTTTAGTCTTATCTTATCTCTCTCGATGTCTTATAGCGTCGGTGAGTCTCGTTGGCGACTGATATCGATCTTGTTTAGTGTCTAATAATTTCAGGAAGTTTTAGTCAAATTCATATTGCGAATAACTCGCGCAAATGCCGGAATCAGCGGTCAGAATACGTCTACCATCAATTCACAAAACAACTGGCCTCCAACAAAGGTTTTGTTCGAAATGTTTCTGTAATAAATTGGGTCCATCCTAAAGCCATGACACCATTCTAGTTCGTTCTGTTGATATACGTGAGTTAATAGTTTTTCATCACCTATAGCTGCGCAGGTGTTGTATTTTGTAATAGGGTTCTAGTGGTGTTGACTCCTCCTGGTCGAACTACGGCCGGTAGCGCTTGTCATATTTCAGTAGCCCACTGAAAACGAGAGCGACTGAAGGCTGATAAAAGACCCTTTTTTCGCAATAAATTGTACATTTATTTTGCCGTCACATTTTATGATGGTAACCCATAGTGGACAAAATATTCCACCACTCATTTTTTGGAGTCGAAAATGTTTCGCTATTTTTAAACATCCCTTCTCAATCACTCGCGTAGATTATTGATCATGAAAATTTCGAATAAAATACAATGATCTTTCAACTGGCCCAAAAGCTAAACTCGTAAAGAAATTGTCGCAAAAAAGAAAAATAAAATCTTGACCACCTTTACTTTACTCTGATATCCTTTACTGCTCTCCACAGTTGATGTGTTTTTTCAAGTCAGTTTATCGATAACTTGTGCTCTGCGTTTGACTTTGCCCAGCCCCTATTTAACTCCTCAGCTCAGTCTTTTTGAGAAAAAAATGCTGCTTCCCTACCCACAATGCTGCGAAGACAGATTCGGTAAAAATCATTAAATGTCATCTTATATGTATATACCATTATCTTAAGAAAAATAGAATCAATATTTACGTGCACAAAATCATGAAAATGAATTTAAAATATGCACCTAAACTTAAACATATTGTATCTTGCTGAAAAGAAGAATGAAAAGTGTTATCGTGACCTCCGGCCTTTTAAGCGCTTTCATATCGATATTATTTTAATACCGCACTTTCTCTTGTTTTCAAAGCAGGATATCTTCACAACCCGCAGGGAATGTGCTTCTTGTTGCTACCCATGCAAAGATAACGATGTCAGGATGGTAACCAGGTTTTTAAACATGGCGTGCTTTTTAAACCTTACTGTGGTGTGATTAATTTTTTTTTAAATAAAACTCGTCTTAATAAGGCTTGTTTTATTTTCAAGTCGAAAATTAGATTAGCCTTTTGCTCGCGTAGAGTTTTTGTGCCATTAATTTTTACATTTAATGCCCTCATCATTATCTTTTGATAAAGACAACCTTTATCTTCTCTTTTATACAATATTTTTCACCCTCGTACGACCATGTATGCGATATATTTTATATATTATGGTGATAAATAATTTTAACGTCCTCAGAATGTGTTGATTTTCAACACTCAGTGTCTTCTTTTGCTATCTTTGTATTTCGCGTGACAAATATTTCCCTGCGTTTTAAGGAAAAGTGAAATTTGTCTTCTTAATAGCTTCGCCGTTTTTTTAATTGGCGACTATTGAATATGACATACATGAATATATATGCTGCCTCTTGCGTGCTAGCTTGAAAGTAATAATTTTCCAATACCCTGCTGTTGAAAGGAGAGCGATTTCCGATAGTCAGCTCATTGTAAACATTAAAGACATTCATATACGTCTTTACAATCTTATTTTGTCTAAAAACTGCCATTCTGTTTCCTTTTCCGCGGATATTGAAAATAGAGAATAAAAGTCATTTCGACAGGACCAGACGGTGTATAAATGTGAAATTAAAAAGGTGTTTGTGTACAATCTTTCTATAAATTTCGATGTCACTAGGTCCAAACAATTCGTGAAGGAAACATATTGAGTGTTTCATACATGAAGAATGTTGTGATACAACTGACAGGAATACACAAAAGTGAACAGATGTAACACACACATTTCGACCCTTTGTTTATTTTGTTCCCTTAAGTGATGTTAAGAGGATTTAAGTGCGTGATGTACCACTAAAGGCTGAAATTAAAATAGCGGTAAAAGCTGTTCTGTTTATACCTCCAATGAAAAAGGACTTATTCTGAGTTTTTATATAACTTGGGCGACTTCAAATGTCGGCTTCATTAGAAATGCTAACTACTAAACAGTTTAGAAGATTAAGCGCGGTAGTCTTCTTTTTGAAGAAACAGTGTAGCTGCCTGATATTAAAAACAATTGATTTTGTCTTTATTCTATTCTTGTCATCTATCGTCAAACAGGAAAAGTGATAATAAACAGTTGTCTTAATGATATGACAGTGTGTAAGAGAATATTAAAATGTGGTTAAATTTAAAGTTTTACCTAATATACTTTCTGTAAATCAAAAAGCCACAGTAAATGTACTTGAGCATTTCTGTCCAAATAAAATTCACATGTCGTTTCATGTATAAAGTACAAAGAAAACCTATTTGTTTTGTAGTTTTTTTTTTGACCTGTGGTCTATTCAGCAAAGTATCGCACGGGAACCGAAAGATACACTTGGTATGAAGAATAACGTATGCACATTCATTTATAATGCTTTTGAAGAAACTGTGTGCAGTTAATCACCATGAGAATATATAGTGCCATACTGTCGCCGAGAAAAAGTTGAATTAATGTCAGTTTCCATTTTCATTTTCAAATGATTGTGATTCACAAAATTAAGCGAAATCAATTTTTTTTCATTTTTACATGGTTTTCTTTTTATCCATGACCTACTGTAAAGTCCACGACTTCTGTTATGAAGAAAACAATCAAAGTTGGTGCTCATAAGGTTTCAAACAATGAAATTCGGAAGTCTTAGTTTACGAGAAAACATATATTAAATAGAGCTCTATGAGCAAGTGCCAAATCTTTGATAACTGAGGCAAGTCGTCAATTTTAAATAATTTATCATATATACTCCTGTCTTTATCTCAGTTGCTCGTTTACTTTTATATTTAGGTGATCGGCCGCAAGTTGGCCATTTTTTGAACGTTACTCGTTAAATGAACTTTATACTTTCATTGTAGATGGACTCATGCAGTTAAGTTTTTGTGCTGTGCAAATCATAATAGAAATGAAATACGTCATTTGTGTTTTATTCAGTTACTCGTTAGCCTTATAGTATTTGGCTAACTTTTCGAGGCAGGCAATAGCCTTCTTCGTCCCATTTCCTCGCTTAAAATGAACCGCAAAAAATTGCAAAATTAAAATTGAAAATGTTTACAACTTTCTAATCGAAGTATCCAGTGTCTTGAAAGTCATGCGAATCGCAATTTTAACCTGCGAGATCTACATATTTATTGCGCTTCAATACGGACAACTTCACCAAAATTCACTTTTTTTGTTGACACTTGATTTCTTTCATCATTGCCTCCATCGACATCTTCTCCATCTTTCAATGACTGAAGTGGCTCATTTCTGAACGAAACACGATATTCTTTTGCCTCAAGGTTAGGAATTAGCTCTTTGCACCAATAACTGTTATTCCACAATAATTTTCTTGCCGCGTAAGTGCTTCGTGCGCTTCGTGGTGTTGCAAGCTGCATCGTGTAGGGTAGATGGTTTGATTTTCTTTGTGAGCGCCGCTCTCTTCTCCGCGAAATTTTGCTTTTTCTGTAGATGTTCGCATTGCTGCAAGTTTCCTGCGATCGAAATCTTAAGCATGAAATCACCAGCATTTTCACAGTGCCACATGGGCTAAAAATATCCCGGCAGTACCGTCTGTGGAGAAACACAAATATGAACGGATTAATGGCTGAGTTGGAGTAAACCAAGATATAGCAAAAATTGATTATGGTACCAAAATATCGGAGACCCTTTTCCGAACCAAAATCTTTCCAAATCCACATGATATGGTTGGGTAACATACAGAGTGAAAAGGCAATCACCGCAATTATAAATATCCTGACGATTCTCATATTGCGCTGAGCTCTCGCCTGCACTAGTGGCTTTTTACCGTTGCGTTTTCTTTCGCCAATCGCCTTGTGCATTCTTTGTATGTCTCTCCAGAGCTTTTGACTGATCCGTATGTAGTTGGCGGTGATCACAAAAAGCGGCAACACATACAGAGCTATAAAAACTGCAAGCGTGAACACTTTGGGATGGTATTTCTCAGGCCAGTTTTCCATGCACTGAGTTACACCGTCGCTGGTTTCAGCTTTAAGAATGGCAATGTACGGTCCGACCAGACTGATGCTAGCAGCCCAGAGAATAAAAACTATCGTAACTGCTCGTTTTGCTTTTATTTTTGGCTTAAATGGCGGCATAACTGAACGATGTCTCTCCCAGCTCATGAAAAGCAGCGTGTACACAGACACGGCCATCAAAATGGTTTGCAAAGGGTACACGATTTTACACAGCACGTTTCCAAAAGGCCACTCTTTCACTAATCTTTCCACAAAGTCAAATGGTATACTTATTACACAAGTTGCCAAGTCTGTTGCGGCCAAATTGAGGACGAAAACGTCGGTGATACGCAAGCGGCGTCTTTTAAAAACAGCCAAGCAAATTAGGGTATTTCCTATCAAACCAGCAGCGGTGATTATAGAGTAGCACATCAGTTGAACGATGGCTAGTCGATCGAAACCTTCCACCGAAGTTGTGCTTTTGTTAGTTGCAAATTGCTCCGTTAGGTTTACAGCAGAAGACATGTTAAACAAGAGATTAGTCGCCGAATTACCGCTTCGGGCTTCAAACTCGGACGATTTTATCCCGCGCTATTTCACAGTGCACCGTTTGTGGCCGAAAAAGTTTTTCGATCACTTTATGTGTCGAATTAAAAAGCAGTTTGACCGCGCGTGTGACCTCAATGGTGGCTACTAATATTGAAATTGTTCTTATCTTGACGTGAAAATAAACGCTTCATGGCCATCTGTCTCCAGATTGAATAGCCTTCATCCCCACTTAATAATATCGACTCAACAGCCGGGCGAATAAAAAAGACTGCGATTAATGTGTTTTGGAAGCAGCTTTTATCGTATGCATGAATTCAGTTGTATTCCGCAAACAGTTTTAAAATGCATTCATATGAAGAGAGCAAAAGCACTGTTTGGTAAGCATCCAAGAGCTGTTGAAGTTTATGTCCCCACATCTCAAAATAACAGATAACAGAAGTACCGCGACTTGCAAGGAAAGCAGAGGCCATCTCCGTAATAAGTTCAAAATAAGTTTAGTGATTGTTACTTCTGATGGGTTTGAGGATGTTATTACATTTTACTGTTCGTCGCCTCGGAGGAAAAGTCATTGAGAGATCGAAAGACATGACTTCTAGACAACACAGGAGGTTTTAAATTCATTTAGAAAAGCTAACTGACTTCTCTTACAGCAATTTATAGAAATTCATATTCATTAGAAGAGCTATGTCTAACATCCCGCTGCGTTAAAGAAACGAACGGTTTTCTATTGAAAAAGGTCAGACAAGTCTCTAAACTTGAAATTCGTCTCTGTTCGGTCCATAGAGGAAGAGGAAGGAGAAACTAAAATAAGTATTTGAAATTTCTTGCATTTTCGCGATTAAATCGGTGTTTGACGTCACTTCCTCAAATAAATTGTAATAAAGTGCAGTAGGAGATGAACTGTTTCTCTATTTTTCCTGCATGGGTTATTCGTCATGTTTTACAATGATGTATTAAAATATATAATTCACATGTTATAGAGCGCAGGAAATTTATTTCTCTTCCGATAGTTAATGCTTTGTTAATTGACCCCAATATATGTTTATTTCTGACAAATCTCTGCGGATGCAAGCCGTAAATCAGTGGGCGGATGAAAGTAAATGTTGCCTCTTTCGTGTGTTTTTGCGCACGTACTCGCTGGGTATTCTTGGTTTTTGCGAAAGCAGCCGACGGCAAATATCAAAATATTGTTTTTATTCCCAGCGAAATATTTCAACCGATGAGGTAAGGATGATTTAGCCACTCTTTTTCGGCATTCAGATACAAAACGTTGTTTTCAGCCTTTCTGGCGTAGAAATTAAAAAACGATATTGTAATGCCCCGTCTGCGAAAGATGGGACTTTTGTTTCCAGGGCGGGCAATTAAACTACCCTAGAGCGCGTTTCTTTAATTTTCTTTTTCAGATTCGCTAAATACAAGTCGGCAGGCTATAACTAAGCGAGAAATATGTTTCCTGTTTTCCCGGGAAACACGGATAAATGCGTAAAAGGTTGTGGGCTGATGTCTGCAGATGAGTGAGAGAAATGAGTGGAAGGAAATTAATTTTCTCTGGTTCAGAATTAATTCCAATAAAATTTGCCTCAATTATTGGAACACTGTCGAAATTTTGTCAAGTATTTCAATTATGCACTTGGTCAGAGTGCATAATGGTGTCAACTTGTTCATCATCATGTGTTTTAAAAGCTTAGTATTCAAAGACTCTCCCGTATTACAAAACCAATGAGTGGACACAGGGATCACGAGATCCTCTTTATGTATAAAAATAGAAGGGTATAAAGGTTTTTTTTTTGTAAAAAAACCTGAAACGCAGTCTAAGTTTCCATGCATAGGGCATCTGTAAACGTTTGCCAAGGCCAATTTAATCAACTAAGATTGTCTGTTACTTCTAATGCGAGAATTTTCGCCTTTGCTTTATGATCGCTGACGGTGATCATATCAAAATAACGTGTCGGTACGTTTTTTGATCTTAGTTTAATTTACCTTCAGAGCCGCCTTCTAAAGTCAGTGCGTGCGCTCAGCTACCGCCCGGTCACCATGTAATCCTTAACCTATTTGCGCTTTTAAGCGGGAACTATGTAACTGAAAAAAATGGAATGTTGTAAATGACAACGTGTTCATTATAATCTCAGTTTGGCCCTAAACTTTTTTAGGGGAGTGGGGAGAGAGAGTGAAGTTCCTTTAAGTATATTTAGTGCTGGGGGTGGGGGTGGGGAGACGTCCTAATCGCATCATGACTACACTGTTTGAAATGAGTACTCCCCTGCCAAAAACGTTAGATTTTACTTTAAACCGGTGTACATATTTAAGGTGCACAGAATAATAAACGGCTTTAGACTCTTGGTTTGTTATCAGGTATCTAGCAACAGGCTTTTTTCTTCAATTTTACCCGTATTTCAAATCTAATCAGAGGTCATAAATATTGGATAACCCTGTATTGTAATAAAAGTAGGTTTTTTATTTTCACTATTCCTTTTAAACCTGAGAATAGTGTCTGGGTTTCCATTAAAATATCAAATTAGAGGCATCTGTATCTACAAAGGCCTCTTTAAACAACAAAGACCGTGAGTAATTTCTGATTCAGATAATTTTCGCCTCTGCCCTACAGCATCAGTAAATTCTGTGATCAAAACAATAGCGATATTAAATTTCGATTTACCTTTTGAGGCACTTAATTTGATCTTTAGGCATACATAAATTAATTCACTCTGTCCTGTGCAACTCATTTCTTTATTCAACAGAATTAAATACTCATTTTCATACCGTGTACATATTTAATATTCTAAGCTATCGTCGGCTTGTAAATTGAGGTATTCTGAAAAATGTTTCCAAGTGTCACGGTTTAGTGTTCCACAGCATGCTGTAAGTTAGCAACTTCAGAAAACAATCCTTGTTATGTCAAAATTTTTTTCATTTTCCTTCTCTTGAATTAAGTATTGTAAGTTAGAAGCATACTTAAAAAAAAACATTGAAAACATATCTTCATTCTTTTACTCGAAAAAAAAATTCTAATTTGATTTATACTAAATAATAAAGCAATCAGGATTCAATGATATATTCAAAGATCAACTGTCAAAACTATACCTGTAACTGTGATTGAAACTGTGCATTTACATTAACACTGGCTACTTTTTAGGATGGTGTGCTACCAAGGTAAGAGAGGGGGGGGGGGGGGGGAGGAGGGGAGGGGGAATTGAAGTGCCTTTGACCTTTAGGAGTGACTAACAACTATATCCTTGCTAACCTAGGTTTTAAAGTTGTTTTTTTCTAATTGTCGATATTTCATATTTTTATATTTAAATATAAATAATAAATATCCAACTTTTATATTTTAGGGTTATATTTCAAGGTTTTATCATTAGTTTTTTATTTAAGAATTACCAGGTATTCATAGAGATAGAAGTTATAGACTGAGAGTATTTTATCATGGCTACACAGGGGTCGATACCAGCTTTTACTACGGTACTAGCTGATCCATTTTATAGGGTAAATTAAGTTATTATTATTATTACTATTATTATTTTCCTCACAATATCACTACTGAATCACTCATTAAGGTCACAGGAGCAAGGGAAATGATCACCAACTAAAGAAGGTTTGGATTGTTCAACAAGTTCTCCTTGCCACTACCTTAGGAAATATATAGAGTACAGTGTAGAGAAAATGCTTACTGATGTTAAGGTGTAAAAGGGTTAAATATATTTTGTGATGGAGAAGACCCCCCTCCCCCTTCCCCACACCCCCCCCCCCAAAAAAAAAAAAGGCATTATCCTTATTTTCTTTAGGATCAATACCCACCACACTTACACAAAACCTCCTGAAATACAATTACAATACAATTTCAAACTTTCAAAAGTTTTTCAACAGTTCTTTGAGTGAAACTTTCTCTGTAAATGTTACATGGTCCAAATTTGTGAACCAGGGTTTGATAATGGTAGCTGTTGTGTCTTCCTCCCAATCTTGCACATACCCCAGAAGCTGCTTCAGTTGCAGTTCAGAATTGCAGTTTTGATGACATGACTTGATGTCTTCAGGCTCCGACACTCTTACCTCAAGCACATGACATGTGTAACCAAAGGCTTGACCAAGACTCTTGTACACTGCATACTCCCAACACTTGGTGTAGACACCATCCACTACAACAAAAGGGCATAAATTTGCCATAGCATCCAGGAAACAAGAGCGACAGTAAGCCTCGGCAATGTTTAGTTCACAGAGATCTAAGGCTATAGCACCTTTCTTTTGAAATAACTGTCCTGAATTACAATATGTTAATCCACCTGATTCTCTGGCTTCTTCTGAGTTTTCAACAAGATGTGTTTTTCCACTTCCAGGAATGCCTCTCATTATTATAACAACTCTACCTGTATCTTGAAAAGAGTTACTGAGTTCTGTCAGTTTTGCAAGACCCTTGTCCATCTCTGAAGCATTCCCTGAGTGAAAAAGTGCTTTGATTTTATTTCTTTCATCCTCACAAATCTCCTTCTTTTCAAACAAATAATCTGCATATTGGCAGAACTTTGGTGGCAAGGTGGAAGACAGTGCCTTCAAGGAGTTTTCCACTGCTGAAACTTTCTGATGAGTACCATCGATAGCTTTTGGCAGACATCTGGAGAACAGAATGAGAGACTCCACAGCCTGTTCTCCAAATTGAAGGTTAGATTTCATTAACTCCTGCAACTTTCTAAGTAACTCATCAGTTAAAGACCTTCCTCTTGTGATAGTAAGATGAGGTACAAACTGATCTCGGTTTCCTTCCAAACTTATTTCAGCCTTTTCAAACTTAAATTTCAATGCTTGGACAATTTTCAACAACCTGTCATCAGGATCAACTTTGGCATAAAGAATTCTGTTGTGAAACTGTCCAAGACCATTGATTTTTAGTTTATGCCTGAGTGGAAGAAGGGACACCAATAAAGGTTGGATTGACTTGAGAATGCTCTTAGCAGTGGCTATGTCATCTTCATTCTTCAGAGTTAACATTAGCAAGGTGATGTGTAAGCTTTGACTTGGCGTTACTTCATACTCTGCTTCTTGGCCAAGCTCTAGGTGGATCATACTTTGGATCTGCAAAAATAAAGGTAGTTTTATTAAACCCTTTGAATTACAGAAGTGACTATAATTATGTAACTTCTCCCCAAATTTTCAATGTATTATTTGGCAAACATTATCAATACAATATCAACCAGACAAGCAATGGGAATAAAGACAAATATCAATTTGGGGATTATGAGTTGGTACAATACCAAATTCTCAGAACTAACATGATAAGAATTGTAAAGCTGACAATAAGGAGAAATACTAATGAGGTCTCGGAATTTAAAGGGTTACAAGTCCCTCCAATTAAATTCTAAACTCACCTTGTTAATGTTTTCAATTATTCCCTCATCTGAAATCTGAATTGCAATGAAATAATTTGGTCCATTCTTTTCTTTAACAGACTTCACTTTCAGAAGCTCTGAAGCATTGGAAACAACTCCAGTATCAGGTACTGTTTCCTCTGTGACTTGCTCTTGATCAGAGTTTTGTGGCATACTGATCCTCTCTTTGACATCCAGAATGGTCTCATTGCTTCCTGTAGATCCAAAGACTCTATCAATACGCTCCCGTTTGTCCCAAACAATTTCCCCCAGGTACTTGAAATACTGAATTCTATGACGAGGAATGGCAAGGTCAACAAAGTGATCCACAGAAGCCAGATCCTCCCATGACAGATCTGTGAAGTCTTTCTCTACAATTCCAACAAATCTATCCAGGTAACCAACCACAAAATCTTTTGGTGAAAGCTCCTCGTCCCATTGAATTCTGGAAATGACATCACTTGCTGTTTTCATGGGAGGTTTCTTCTTGTTTAAGACAACCTCTTTCTTTTCATGATGCTTATTTCCAGAGTTGTAAACAGACTTTCCTGCACTTTTTACCTTTTCACTATCATTGGTGGAATCAGATCTCTCCTCAACATTTTGCACCCCACTGTTAGCTTGCACTCCTTCACCATGTTTATTTAAGCACTTGACTCCAAATCTACACTTCCCTTCAAGAAAGAATTTGCAAATATTGGCTGTATTTTCAGGAGAGTTTTTCTCTCCTTGAGAGGAAAGCATCAGTTTTTCAGACGATTCCATTTTCTTTAACCAGTTCTTAGATTCTTCAGTGAGATTATAAATCATTACTTCACCACAGCTCTCCTGTGCAATGTGGTACAACAGTGATTCCAATTCTGTATAAGCTGGTTGATTATCTTGTGTAACACTGATGGAAGGTGGAGCATTGGGGTAGTTCTCTGGAGGAACAAGAAAGTCTCTTTAAGAAATTAACAGAACTCTGCAGTAATCACAATTAATTATGCTTCTGAATTTCAGAACCTCCTAAATGATACTTCACAGGCATAGATTTCTTTCATAAGGTAAATAAACTAAAAAAAACCCTAGGATGTACTATTTTATCCAGAACACTTTGACATATCACCCCCAAATCACACATCAAGGTCACCAGAATAAAAGAAATGCTCATCAGCCAAAGAGGCTCTTGATTGGTTAAGAAATTCTCCTTGCCAGGTCCTTAGGAAATGTATAGAGAACACTATGGAGAATAAGTATACTGATCCTCGCAGTAATGAATAAGTATACTGATGTTATGATGCATAATCGCTTGATGATATGTCCTGTAACTACAGAGTCATTTATACACGAAAGTAAGTAAATCATTGCGTAAGGGTTACCCTTCAAGAAAATTAGAATAAGGGCTTATACAGCCAGGCTATTTTTCTGTAAGTAATTGCAGTCGAGACTTGCTAAGCAGGTGGGAAAAATCTTAACCACTCGGAGGACAATCTTGAAAAAGATGTACTCTAGTTTAAAGCGATCGTAGCGAAAATAATAAGGCTGTTCGTATGAAGCATTATAAATCCAAGGTAAGTTTAGAATATGGGAACTACTGCGGAAAAATTATCTCACCTGGTAATGTGAAAATTATTTTTGTCTTACTCTGTTGAAAGTTTACTTCATAAGACACAGGTTGATTCTCTTCTGATCCCTTTACCGAAACAATTTCCTCTCCGTAGATTGATTGCAGTGCTTCAGCTTCCATTTCACGTTCTACAGAAGAGTACTCCATATTCTCAAGACGAGTGTTATCCCAGAAATTTAGACTAATTTTGACACAGATCACAGAATTTTGGAAATTTATTATTCCAGCAAACAATTGCATTATTGCATTTTGTGGTGCAACTGTTTATGGCCGTGAGAAAACTGGACCCTTGATTAAAAGTCAGTTCCAGGTCTCCGTTCGTAACGCTCTCCTATTTAGAATACGTCACGATTTGGAATACCTCTAAGAAAAGATTTATATGCTAAATACTCTTTGACTTAAGACCTGGAGCCATTTAGCTCAAATGATTCACTGCACCTTTCCAGCTTGCGGAGCCAGTACTATATACCAATATCTCGTTGTTAAGTTAGGCAGTTTTTACTTATTTGTCATAGGACTAGTTTTAGTCAAATGGTACTTTATTTTTAGAGATTTTTGGTTTACTTTTACTTCAGGGAACCGCCCTGAAAACCATGTACTTAGAGTGATGGGAGTCTCCTCTCAGAATATTCATTTTGCTTTTATTTTAGGATATTCTTATTTCCCATTTTCATAACTTGGGAGCAAAATTTGACTGCAGCCTCGGATCGCTGATGGTCGAAGAGATTTATTATCACCAGACTCGAAAAAGATCTCTCTGCGCACTGCAAATGGCCACCGGCTTGAAGGAATATTTTCAAGCAAATCTCCATTTTATCTTATGTAGTGAGTCCGCAAGATGTTTTCAAGGTTAAAATCACTTGAACTTTCTAGCAAATCTCTATGATGATGTGTATAATGAAGAGACATTTAATAGCAGTGGAATGTAGCTATATGAGGTTTTCATCGGGCTTTTTTCCCCTCTTTTTGCAAGGAAATATGCAAGAATCTTATAGAAACTTTTCTTTTCTTCTCATCTTAAGTGTATATATCTGATCCGGTCACACTTAGTTTTCCAGCTGAAATGAACTCCTCAGATAATTATATTAAATCTATGGGCGATAAGAGTTTGTGTTAAGACGGGGTGAAATTTGTGAAAAAAAAAAGTAATATCGATGCTTAATCGATCTAAAGGGCGGTTAGTTTACTATTTTGCGAAAGCCGGCAAATCTAAAATAAACAAGTTTGATCGACGTGCCATATTATAAACTACTTTCTACTCCTTGCTTTCTCGAGCCGTACTGGGACCGAGCGCAGCACAGCATCACTTTCACGTCTTTCCTGGCGTCGCCATGGAGACTGCATAAAGGCCTGTACTACAATTGAACGTGTACCGATATTGTTTAGATCATGTTGAGTATCTGTTACTACATTCCTCATTCTATATCATGCACAACAGGGCACTTGAGTGACCCTTAATGATGGCTAAAACGTCATTTTCGTAATTCTATGTGTGACAGCTAATTTTACGACCAGTCATCTGTTTGGCTAAATATTGATACAGGAAATTCACTTCTTGTAGATAACTACAGTACCTAGGTTTTGATCTAACTTAAAGAAATACAAAGAAACCATTTATTTGCGTGATTTCGCTTCGTGCATGAAACCCGCCGTCAAAGCAGGTCGTCATATATGATAACCTGAAGTATATCGAATTGCATGATTTTAGAGGGTGCACAACAGCTTAAAATAATTTGAAAACATGATGAATCCGCATTGAGCCCCCAAGCATCTAGACCGCTGGTGTCCCCGTGTCTTCGAGCTTTCTCTTTGAATTTCGTAAATGGTTAAAAAGAAATGTTGTCTGATTTCAATGTGACTAAGGCCTAAGTTCTGAAAAAGAGGCAAGTATGCGGATAAATATTGGGCTTCGTAAAGTATCAATCTCTCATGATTGTTACGGTTCTACTGGATATACTCTACTGTGTGGAATATAGCTCTACCAAATTGAATTTTTTATTTATTTCTGTAGACTTAATGACTCCAGGCTCTTAGAATTAACGCCACTTGAAATAATAAAAATTATTTTTATTGAAACTCATTTTTTCCTTTCAATATAACTGTGTCACAGCTCCGAATATCAAATATGCGGTATTGAGACGTTGAAGAAATTCATAAAAAAACATGCAGTGATAAACTTTGCATCATTTGGCGAGTAGTTCTGGCTAACTAAGGCAAAAATTCCAAGATGTGGCTCTTAGTGGCAGCCCTCCTAGCTTGTTTTGCTTCCAATGCAAGTGGCCAAAACCAAACAATGCATGAGATGTCATTTGACGATGGAAATTTTAACGTATCGTGGACACACAACAGAAGTACGGAAGAGTTAGAGTTTGAAGTTAATGCCAATGCAATAGGTTATGTTGCCTTTGGGTTCACCTTTACGCCAGAAGACATGCAGAACTATTCTATTGTGGTGGGAGGCACAAATGGCTCCGGACAGAATTATTTCAATGTAAGTTTGTTTTTTTTTTCATTCTTTAAGATGTGCAAGAATTATCCCCAGATGTTCTACTTAGTGACCCCTAGAGAGCTCGTCAGTGAGACAGGCCATGTGTACTACAGGTTTATTGTAGCACATAGCACTGCCACATACTGCTTGGATCAGTTGTGTCGATCCTTCTTTTCCTTAAGTGTTTGACAAGCTTAGTATCAGGCACAGAGGGTCAAACTCCTGATCACTGATTTCGTTTCCGGGAGAGAGATCCGACTAAAATAGGGACCGTAAGCAAACCAAGCGACTGCAATGAGAAGGTATCCAAACAGTTGATCTAACGGGCAGAACAATAACTCAGCTTGTTCGTTTTAAAACTTTTTACATTTCTTAGCCGTCCTCTGCAAAACAACAACGTGAATCACCAAAACTTTCGAGATCTGAGAAGGAAATTCTGACGGCGCATCATTTGCGTCTCCATCTGGAACTCAACGCTGATCATAAACATTACGCTGAAGTTTAGGTGTGGCACCGATAAAGACAGTTAACATATCCAGCCGTTCGCAAAATTCTAACTAAAAATGCAAACTAATTTTTAGTCAACATCTTCCTGAGCATTGCCATCCTGATCGCTTAAGGCCCCTTTTAATTTCCCTTGCTCTAAACATGTGTTCTTCATTGATTGTAGCAAGAACGCAGATGAAGTTCGAGCCGAGTCGAAGCTCAGCTGAATTCTGTTTACAGGCTTCATCCTCTGCAATATTGCTCTTATTGCAGTTTTACATATATGATCAATTCGTAACAAAATCCAGTGTCTCCTGTTCCTATTTAATTTACAATTTTGTTTAACCAATACTAACTCAAATTCGCTGTGGAAAACATCTGGGACACCACCTGTTTCTCACAAAAAATTCGTTTTTCAATCCAGACGGTCTTTTTGAGTTCTGTTGGTTTTGTGCAGCCAGCGTTAGCTTCAAAATATTTACTTATGATAAGAATAGGTTAAAATTCATGATCCTGTTTCAAACGCTTATCGAAGTATAGTAACTATGAAGTGAAGCGATAGTAATGCTCTATTTGAAATTCAAATTTGCTTTGTATTGCAGTCAGGTTCGTCATGGTTGTTAATTAAAATTAGTTTCGGAAACCGGCAATTTTTTTTTTTAAACTTAGTCAGGTGTAAATCTTAATCGCTCGGAAAAACCCGGAGACTAATAATCTCATTTGATTCTTTTTTTTAATCATACCTGCGCCTCTCGCTCTGGTATTCTCGCATTCAAGCCTGCAATCAGCTCTTCAGCAAATATTGTCCACTAGATGATTTAGATCACGGAAACATTGTGTATGTGAAGTATTTTCAGACCATCAAAATATTAGTTGTATTGTCTTGAAATTTTCAGAATATATCATTTGGACTCTCCACGCAACTATAAAGGGGTAACTCCCAGCATTTTTATCATATTAATGTTTATATTAACTTTCTGTGAGAAGAATTTAAAAAGTTTTCACTCACAACCTCTAGAGTTACCACACCAGTGGCCTCGGGAAACTTACCCTGGATGCGGACCCGCAAATTTACATACTGGACAGTGCTGAAGAACAAAATGGCACTACAACCCTACGCTTCCGACGACCGCTGGAGACAAACGACAGTAAAGACATCCAGTTTAACGTAAGCATCTTAGCTTAAGTTGTAATTCAAATAGAGCGATTTTCGATTGCGTGTTGAAGAACCAAACGCTAAGTAGACTGAGTACCAGGCCTTCCATGGGAAGGGGGAGTGGGTCTAAGCGTCCTATCATTGAGCAGATGCATGATGAAGCAGAACTAATTTCTTTCGAAGCTCTATTTCTTGTAGTGAATTAAGTGCAACTCAGAATTTGGTAGAGAGAATCTGCGCTCTATGCGTATCTTTCTCATTTAACCATCCATGGAATAACCCTTCAAAATTGAATAATCTGCAAAGTAATGTGATGTTAGTTTGTGAGGTGTCCTGCGAATCGGAAGAATATGATATTTTGGTTCGTTTTTCTGCGCGTCGCAAAATTATTTTTAACTTGAGGAAACCACAAAATATTGGTTTGGTAAAATAGAAAAACGTGAATAGGTGGTTATTTACAAAGAAAAAACAACGATGGATAAGCATGGAGGAGATTTCATCAAATTGACGACAAAATCTACGTTAGCTTTTACAAAAGGCAAAATCAGTCCGTAACATGGTTCTTTCCAAACGTCTTATTTCTACGTTGCAGGAGACCACTCGTGTGTTCCTTGTGTGGGCTTATCATAAATATTCGGATGCAGATAATGTCGTTACGTACCACACAAACAGAAATTACACAGAACAAGCCATGCAAGTTGTCTTCCCGCCTGTGGAAATGACGTCAACACCTCCGGCCGTCATGACCAGGGAACGGCCAAACCCAGAATCCTCCGCAGTTCAAGTGGTTGTCAGTGCTTTCACGCTCTCTGTCTTGGCAATTTCAGCACTTATGTTTTGAAGTAGCTCTGGGTCATTAAAAAAAAAATTATAAAATAAAAGAAGCTATAGCAGTTCAACAGGCACCTGCCCGCCCAAGAAGGACAATCTCACTGCTTTTTGCAACAAATTAGAGAAGCAAAATTAGTCTCATTCAAAGGCATTCTGTGCTCATTTCGCCAATTGGTAAAGATCGCTTCACGTTTTTTTTCAAGAATTCTGATAGCCTTCTCCTTCTCCTTTTTTTTTCTTTTTTAAGCCAATATATTATTTTCGTGTTAGAAGTTTTGGATGATATAGATTGGTCTAAATAGTAAGACCAATTTGGTTTCCACGGCAGACTTGAAATTGGATAGGCATGCCTTGTTTTGGTTCTTTTCTAAGAAACAAAAGAAGGAAAACTTCCCATCAAACATTTTTGATGTGTTACTGACCTATCAAATAAGTTGAGAACCACCCAAAAATTTCAACGAGTAAAGGTCATGCCTTAACCAGTTAACCTGCATATTATCCATACTATTCATTATACATTTCCTAAGGTGCTCACAATGAGAATCTGTGCAACAATCAAGAGATTCTTTAGTTGGTGATCATTTCCCTTTTTCTCTTGACCTTACAGTGTGATTCATGGGTAATATTGCCAGGAGAATTTAGATGGTGTCACTCTTAAGGGTCAAAGGTTAACCACTCCACAAAACGTTACGAACGGAATAAAATTCATCATGTTCAGCCTATTGCTCTCATTACTTAAGTTGTATAGGCCCCTTCATAGGATGTTACATTTCTACAGTGACAACTTTAAGACACAAGTCTTGCTAGTCGTATACAGAGGTTTTAATATCTTTAGTAACATTACTCAAGGGCTGGTTAGCACAAGAAATGCATATTGCAGCAGAAAGAAATAAGATCAGTTGATTTCAGTGTACCAAATAAGCACAGACATACAAGTTACCTACCAAAAGCAATCCTTGGGAGTATTAATAAGAATCCCTGATAGAGAATTACAGTTATGTGATACATATTTTGTGAAATTTTGGATTTTCTATCAAAATAAGTTACTTTACAAGATTAGAGATTTTGATGCTGGTTTTCACTGATGATGGAGTTACAGTTGCTGTAACTCTCATTGGGTAGAGAACGCTTCTTCAATCTTGTATCACTCAAAGTGATCAGAGGTCTGGTGGAAAGCACTTAGATCACTTGTAATGAAGTGAAGAGTAAATTTTTGAAGTTGTAAATGAAAGCCATTGACTGAACCAATCATTAGCAGTCGTCAACATAAACTCTTTAACTCCCAAGGATCTGGTTGTTAATTCTCCCCTCTAGCTGCTACACATTTCCGTGTGTAATAGCTGCAAGAATTTAGTGTTAGATCAAGATAACAACTTTAACCCGATAAGTTTGAGCATTCTTATTACCTGCTTGCTGGTTAATGTATGGATATTATAGGGAGAAGTCACATGTTAATCACTAAGAACTGGGAGTTAAAGGGTTAAAGCATTATGATTGGTGCATTGGGGTATTTTTTGACTTCTTATAACCCAACAATTCAGGTTTCATTGGATTCTTACAAACAGACACTTTGCACTCAACACAGTAAAGCTTTGCACTACTGATTACATTTACAACTCAAGATTAAATAAAAGCCTACCTAAATGAAACAAAATAAAGAATTGAAAAGGATTGGGTAAAAAAAAAAAAAAAAAATCAGGAGATCACTGGTCATTTGGCTTCTGGTTTTATCTCATTTAGTGCCTTTGGTTTAGTCAAATGATCCATAACAAAATTAAAGACAATGAACTGAGGACCAGTCATTTTTTATCACCTGGGGGGGGGGGGGTTAGGGGGTAGGGGGTGGGAGGATTTCTCTGGAGGAACACAGTTTCCAGGGGGGTATGGAGAGGTTAACAGTCATTCTTGACAGAGCATTATGGGGGAAGGGCACCTTGGAAAACTAACTGCCAATGAGGGGGATCTTTAGTATACTACATAGCCTTCAGGGGAGGGGGGATCAGGTAACTTTTGTTGTAACACAACTAAAATCATTCCACCCCACCAGGTGATAAATAATGACCCGACAATGGGATCAGAGAGTGTCATCTGATAGTTCTCCCTGAATAGTTAGAGCCATTAAAACCCAACCAAACCTTACACAGAGAGGCCTAAACAAAACTAACATAGATTAGGGTCAACTTTATCCGTCTTGTAGCATAAGTTAGTTGAACTGTACACTGTGAAACTTCCTACTATAACAGACACGATAGCTCCTTCCAATTCACAACAACAGCCGTGGTATTAAAGCAGTTATGGATTAATTCTTGTTCCACTCCCCATTGCAGTTCATAAATGGAGAAAAAAATAAATCCAATTCGTGCCAGTCATTATTAAACCACATGTCTGTTAGCGAAGTGTCTTCTATTTTTCTTTATTCACTATGTACTTGAGAACTTTGCAGCTTGACTTCTAACTCGTTTCTCATATTCTGATCTGTTTTGGCTGAAAGTAAAGTTAAGAAACAAAAATATCAATTTTACAGAAACCAATGTTTAACATGTTCCCATTATAGCATTTTTATATTTAACTGAAAAGAGCAGAAAATTATCACCAAAGCTAGTTGAAGGATGAGAAAGACAGGAGAAAGCAGGCATTTTAAATGAAATCCTGTATCATGCAAAGGTATATATTTAAATATCACATATTGTAATTGTGGTTAATTCATTTCAGTTAAAGCAGTTGGACTCCAGTTCATTTACTGTACAACAAGTACCATCGAGCTAATGCCAGCAGATGCACCACCCTAATGGTAGCATTCTAGACTCTGGATTAGGCCATTAGGTTCAATCCTTGGCCAGCGTCACCATGTTGTGTTCTTTAAAAAGACAATTAACCCTCACAGGGTGATTCTCCTCCCACACTGTCTTATAAGTGGACAGTTCCTTTTCACATAGTCAGTCTGAACTCTTAGACAAACTCAATATTCACACACTCTTGTAAACCACTACATCTTAGACTTGCAATTAAGATGTTTGCTTCATCTATAAAATTTTTTATAGTGGACACCCAAAAGGAAATCCCATCAACTTCTGAATCAATTTTAATCAGTCAACTTGACACTGTTGCAAGTCACGATGATTTCACAGTGCACTCATTGCATAGCACTGTTTTAGTGTTGGCTTTCTTCTCATTTACATCTGGCCCTATTTCACACCACCAATCAGCTGGGTATTTTTATTTTCAAGCCATCATCTATTTTTTACACCTCTGGAGACCGCCTACCAGTACCACTGTCACAAGCAGCCAGCTCCAGCAACAAAAAATGTTTTTGCATCTTGAAGATGTCTAATTTCATGAGCTTCTACAGTACTTGGAAGCAGTAGAAGTCTGTACATGAGCTAGGTCCTAATCAACACATCCTAGTTCTACTGCCCTTGAACATCACCCAAATTACTCATAGCTTTACTACAAGAGATCACTTACCAGTAACATTTTTTGCAAAGTTTGAATATCTTTTTGTATAAACATGTCACATAATAGAACAAAAAGCAGCTGAGGGGGTTTTATCTGCCTATAATTTCTAATCCTCTCTACTCATTTGCAAAGAAATGTATAAAGCTAAGAAGGGGGAATTACTGATTTAATCTTTGGAGTTCAAGGGTGGAAGTTCTTACCAGTAGATGGTATAAGCTTCTGCTTGAGCAGGATCTCTTATGTTTGGATCATTCAGTAAGTCTTGAATTCCCAATAAAATCTAAGAAGTTAAATTTTAATAGATGAAGATGAAAAATGATGGAAATTACTCAAACAAAACCAATGAAGAGAAAAAGGAGAGGCAATTGACTAATTATTTACAGATGACTAGACATGAGGGTTTGTATAAACTTAAAGGAAGATAACATTATCACACAACAGAAGTTACAGAAAAATTACAGTAATAAAAACTGTCCTTACATTTCACTCAAAGCAGACATGAGCATTTAAATAACATCAATTCACAGGTATTAATTTAATTCCATGTGATGAAGAAACTGGTTATTTACCTGTTTTATAGTGACTGCAGGCCTCCAGTCTTTTTCCTCATCCAGAAGAGACAAACACACTGTGCCAGATGGGTAAACATTGGGGTGGAAAATTGGGGGATCAAATTTACCTACAAAAAATGGAAATTGTACAAAACATTGAAACTTATAAACATAGCTGCCTTAAAATATCATGCTGATTGGCATTTATTGGCAATTAAACTTCCATCTGTGCCATTTAATCAAGAACAACCTTAATTTTCCACTGACATCCAATCAAATAAACATTACAGATGGATTTTAACCTGTTTCAAATATATCTTTTCACAAATTAAACAAAATGTTATGAATTTTTGGAATAATTTTACAGTCATATTAAAATGAATTTAAAATATATGCAAACTTGTTTTTGTCAAAAACAGGAAGTACATGAAAGAAAAAGGAAGTTTTCAAATCTCAATATGATGAAATTGCACATTCTTTGGAAAGAAAATTATGATAAATTATTGGGACACAGACGAAATTCTTGAAAACTAGTAAGTGCCGTAAATAAATGAGGCAAATAACTATGTTATTACACACTCTTCCCGTCGTTCCCCTTAGACTAACAGACCAGAACAGAGGCGTGAATAACAACATATTTTACCAAAAGGTCAAAGTTCTTACATTTTGGTGGAGAGGATGGGTAGTCGTCTTTAAATATCATCTTCAGTTTGAAAGAACCTCCTTCCCATGGAGTCTACAACGCAGTAAATGTACAGCATCTTAGAATGTTGTTCGCCTATAACCGGCTTTTTCCGCGACCGCAGTCAAATTGAGTTTTATAACAGTCAGACATAATATCTCAACGATCAAAACTTACACCTTATCTGTTGACAGTTGTCAAATTAATTTTTCGAAAAATTGAAAAAAATAAATCGAGTTATATATAATAACAAAGCTTGTAAACATTCTCGTTGATCCTTGAATACCGAGACAAAAATGACAGCACCCTTCACGATGTTAGAGACACGAGATGAGAGAAGTCTAATCAATTTGGCTAAAATCGCGAGATACATACCGCTTTCTTTCCAGGGATCGCTGTAGACAAAGCAGAAATAAAGTATAATCATCATCGGGGAAGCAAATAAAAATTTATTTTCTTAATGATTATCAATAAAAAGTGTGGCATGGGTATGTCGAGTACACGGATCAGTTCAGAAGCTTTGGCTGGATGAGATTGTGAATCAGACACGAATAAATTGTACATCTCACGTACCACATTCCCAGTTCATCAGATTTAGAGTACCATCAGGATTTTTGAGCGGTTTGGCCACAAATCCCTACAAACAAAAATACTTTCGATTAGAAAACAAAGTCAATTCATTTGGTAAGATCGATCTATTCAAGCATTTTATCATAATCATAAATAGAGGAAATGGGAATGCCGCGTAACTTACGAAAGGATGGTCTTTACGCCAAGCTTTTCTCTCTTCTGATAAACGGCCCAAAGCAATGCCAGACATAGCTACACGAAATCAATTTCCTAGAGTCGAATTTCCAGTACAAAGGAAGACAATAAAACGCAAAAACTAATCGGACGTTGTACAGAAGTCATGCAATCACTGTCAGCTACGACTTTTTCTTTCGATGGATCACGTGACATACTTCGCGCGCTGCAAACATTAGAACCCATTCCTTCTCAGGTCAGCGGTTGCGTCTTCTACAAAGCCTCCCGTAAAAATAGTTTTCTTCTTTCAGAATGTTTCATCTGCTCTTTTAGCCTTTTAAACCCACAGATATGGCAGAAAATGGGGTAAAAAGAGAGGTAAGTCCATTATCTCAGTGAAAATGTCAAATGATTTGTAATTTTTCTCGTTACCGATCAGACGACAGTTTCCTTGTTTTTCGTTGATGCCATTCTTATATTGTTTGTTCTTAGGTTAATCGGTAACCTCACAGCGAAGTTTACCGAAAAATTCGGTAATTTGTTGTTCAGGAATTCATTAATTTTTCATTTTTCATCCTAAATTTTCTTTTGGTTTTCACTGATATCTTGTCCCTTCAAAGAAAAATGATAATTAAAATATTCTGATGTATATGTTTCAGTTGTGAATTATTATCGGTTCAAATATATTTCAGACCAGTTCTGAGTTGTATTTTTCTTGGTGTAATGGATAGAGTAATGTACTTAGAACAAGGACATAATAATTTAAACTGGTTTAAGTGATTCTGATTGTAAATTCATTTTAATCGACCTCATGTGATCATGGTTAAGTAGAACTTTATTTAATCACTTGATATTGTCTTTTTGTGGTCATTCAAGACGGGGATGGGCAATCAACAAGAAAATGTATTGGAATACTGTTCAATTAACCCTTTAGCCAAAGACAGAATTGTTCTGTACAATCTTAATACAATATCAAGCAGACAAGTGATAATATCAATTATGGGATTATTAGTTGATCTAATACCAAATTCTCCAAACTAACATTGTAGGAATGTTCCTATGGTGTTCTTATGGAATCTCTCTTATTTCTATCTACAAACATTACACTAATGACATTGCTGATCCTAGTAGTATGCAGGACGTGTGTCATATGAACTTTGTAATAGACCTCACTCACTGTGGAGTCTCTGTGGCTCAGTGATAGAACGTTGGAACGCGGAATCTGAAGGTCTGAGGTTTTATTCCTCATGGCGTCTCAGAATTTTTTCTTTGTCCCATGCTCGTGACAAGATGAAAAAGACATCTTTCTCTATCATAAAAATTGTGCAGCAGACAGAATGGAGAACCACCAATGACCTTGGAAAACTAGAACAATTTTTTTGTCCCAGCCAACCAACTGTTAGAAGAAGGTGTTGATAGGGAATAGGTCTTGACAAAGTGCAGTTAAAAATTTACATTAATCAATTCATGAACTGTTATTGTTAGATATAAAATTTTGCTATGTAATCTGAAATTATTGGTCAAGATGGTCTGCTCTAGTCACTAGCAATGATTTCCAAACATCATCAAGGAATTTGGTAGAATTTCTCGCATGTTTTAACTCAATACTTAATGTCAGTCACTGTTTCTGGACAGTAGTCTTTTCTTGACTACTTTCTCCTGGAAAATCAGTGATGAACAGTTACTGCATGGTTTAGAACAGTTACTTGACTTGTGAAAATGTTTTGTTATATTTCCCAGCTCCTCAAAACTTGTCAAACATAGTATTTTGAAGGTTCCATATTTGTAGCTCTTTCATTATGTTAAAATTGTATGAAAGAAAACTCCCTTCTCAGTTGGAAGGACGTGATCATTAAGTGATTGTAAAAAGTACCTGTTGTTTATATGTTATCAAATGTGAGTGGAATCAAAATATTTTTCTTATGTCTGTTTACAGAATGCTGCTTCAGGCTCTTCATCCTCTAATCCTCAATCACCTACATCTTCAACAACTCCAGCTGTGAAGAAAAAAAAGCCTGAAGATTTCAAGTTTGGAAAGGTTCTTGGTGAAGGGTCATTTTCAACTGTAAGTTTATCAGAAACTTTGTTAAAGTTTTGAGCCTCCTCCCTCTGCTGAAAAAATCACAGTTACTTTTGCATTGAAAAGAATCTTGGACTGTAAATGTAACATTTTTGACATAAACAGGAAGAAAGTATTTCATGCATGGCACATTGATCAATTCTTAGCTTTGACATCCTCCACCCCCCTTTTCCCTACCCCCTTTCTCCCCTTTCGTTCTTCCCCCCCCCCCCCCCTCCTTGGCAACCCACATGCCTTTCAGTGGTATGGTAATAAGCTCTGTCTTTCCATAACAGGTATATGTTGTGCGAGAAATAAGTACAGGAAAAGAATATGCCAGTAAGTAAATTATTACTTAAAAGTTTGTGTTCTTTGAAGCATGGTTTTCACCAGCAATGTAAGTACAATCACAAGTGGAACAGTTCTCATTTGCAGTGAAAACAGTTCAGGCTCAAGCACAAGGATCAGAATTTTTCTTTTTTCTTTTACTTGCACTTGTCCTTGTATTGAGATTGTTTCTATGGTGAATCAAGAACTGTAATACTTGCTGTTCTACTTGCATTTATGATTGCGTCTCCACTGAAAACCAGGCTTTAATTTACATTTACATTGATGACAGAGTTTGTTTTCCTTCTTGTGTCGTAGCCACAGTGTGCTATCATAATGATTCTTTGTTTGAAGGTTACATAATTCCAAAAGTGTTCTTACACTCTTCCTCCCACAGTGAAAGTTCTGGAGAAAAGACACATGATACGTGAAAAAAAAGTGCAATATGTGTCCAGAGAGAAAGAAGTTCTGAGTAGACTCAACCACCCATTCTTTGTTCGACTATATTTTACATTTCAAGATAAAGAGAAGCTTTGTATCCTTTTCATTCAAGACTGTTGAACAAAGATATCACTTATTACATAACCCTCGAACCCCTAAGAGTGACTAGCATCTAATTTCTCCTTACAATATCACCACTGAATCACATGTTAATGTCTGAGGATAAAGGAAATGATTACCAACTAAAGAAACTCATGATTGTTAAACAAATTCTCCTTGTCAGCACCTTAGTAAATGTACAGAGAACAGTATGAAGAATTTGAACACTGATGTTAAGGTGTAAAGGGTTAATCCTTTATCTCCCAGAAGTGATTAACATGTAACTTCTCCCTTTAATATCCAACATTATCCATGTAATGAGAATACTCTGACTTATCAGGTAGAAGTTGTTATCTTAATTTAATATCAAATTCTTGTAATTAATTTACATGGAAATGTGTAGTAGCTTGAGGGAAGAATTAACAATCAGATCTTAGGTGTTAAAGAGTTAACATAAAGTGTTATTTGGAATTAATGCAAAATTTTTCTTTGAACGTTGCCAGGGTTTCTTTTCGATAGTTGACGTTTTGGGATCAGAGTCAGTCGCTGAACAACTGGGCACCTACCCCTCCCCTAACCTAACCAAAATCAACTAATAACAAGTAAGGATTAATGTTGGGTTGGAGAGGGGTAAGTGTGCAGTTTCTCAGATACTGACATTGATCCACATTTGATAGAGCTGTTGGCCATCTCTTCAGCATAACAATGATGTTTTAGGTTGTTATTCAAGTTCAACAACACAGAGTCATTGCATGCCACAATGTATGGATATTTATAATGGGTACTTTTTGGTGAATCACATGAAAAAAAATCACCATGAAATTATTATTGTTGTTGGTTATATTTGAATTTAAAATTACTAGGTCATTTTCCTTAGCTTTGGCCTCCACAGATTTTGGTTTAAGCTTTGCAAAGAAAGGAGAATTGTTACCCTATATTATAAAGGTAGTCATATTTATTTAGTAATACTTACATTTACTGCTTGTTTGCTTGGGAATAACTTTAATTTACAAAGCAGGTAAATATTCTGTGCACAATTATTTAGTCCTTCAATTTAGAGAGTTGTAATCAACATGATTCTAATAATACGCTCTGACTTTATCAGCATTAATGTGTGCCTAAAATGTTACTTCTGAAGAGGTTTTCTTCCCTTGGAATACTTTGTATTTTGGGTGCTGCGGTTTCATTAATACCACTTTTTGACTTATGCTTCATGTGAACCATATCCTGTTATACCATTTTTCTGCAGCTGGGCTCGTTTGACCTGACATGTACAAGATTTTATTCTGCTGAAGTTGTGTCAGCTTTGGAACATCTTCATGGATTAGGAATCATTCACAGGTACTATCTTTACAGCTGCTAATAGAGAAAATAAAATACAGTTGTTTCAAATTATCAAGCGATCAAAACATGACAAACCTTTTTTTCTGCTTGAAAGAATAAATATATGCAGGAGTCTTCTTTCATCTCTACAACTTTTGTGGATTATTTCCAATGAAAATGTGATTACAGTTTGGGTTCCTTTGATTGTTATTAGGGACTTGAAACCAGAAAATATTCTCATGGACGCAGACATGCACATAAAGATCACTGACTTTGGTACAGCTAAGATTCTAAGTGATGGTGAAGTTAATGAAAAAGGTTAGAAAACTTAAACTTTTCATTCATTTCTCTTGCCTCTCGGCAATCTTCCTTTTATCAAGTTCCTGCTTCTATAGTGGGAAATAATTTTACAGATTTTTTTAATATAACTGTGGGGACTGGTTACTCCTGCATGTAACTGTTAATATTCGAAGAGTGTTTACATAGAAAATAGGGGTGATATCCTATGGCATAAAGTGCCATAGAAGAAAAATAAAAGTGGTAAACATGATTAATGCAATATATGTGCAGAGTTCATTTGGTATGGCTGTGAACTGGCTTCCTGTTATTTATGATCTTGGTAACAGTTTTAACTCTTTTAAAATGTGTACTAATTCATGAGATTTAGACATGAGATACACAGAATTCTTGTTAATATTGTCACTATTAAGTTGTTAATAGTGACACCTTAAACTTAATTTAAGCTGAAATAAGATGGTAAGGCCAGATTTAACACTGTCTGAAACACATCACCTCTATTGTGTTTGGATTGGCTGTATTTTCTTTGACATGGTGTAAAGATCTCGTGAAAACCTCAGAGAAAATGAAAAAAGTGATTACTGTATCCCTTCCATTGAAATAAATCAATTATTGCTCGTTCACTTGAGGTAGCACCAGCAAGT